GTTATTACTCTCCATAATCATGTTCAAATTTTTTCAGCCCAGAAGAGTATTATTTGTTTGATATTTTGGACTACATCTACCGTTTGATGAGGAGAGAATTGCCACACTACACTATGCCCAGAAATATTTACAAGTAAGAGGCAGTTATTTTTTCATTGACTGTGTATGTGCTAAGGAGCAAACAAAAAAATAATCCCTACTTTAGTCCATACTCGTCTCTTCATGATAGAACCTATTTCCAAGGGTAAAAGGCAATTGTAGATAATTTTATACACCGTAGATATCTGGAGTTAACAAGTTATGCAGGGTCTTTAAAGTCCTGGAATTTTTTTCGGGCATTTGGCTTGCAAACTCTAGAAAATATTTTTAGTTGTTTCAGATTCTGAAAATAAAGTTTCGGATAAAAAAAACTCCACAAATTTTTTGCAGTTTTAAGTCTGTGAAGTTATTGCTTGTTAAAATAAAGTTGAGTACAAACCCTAGAATAGGGTGTTTGAATAAAATTTGCTTCCATCAAATGCTTTGATAGCTGTCTTGAAATTTTTTCTCTTATTTAATAAGAATGGAATTTTGTATTTATAGTTACTGTATAAAAATTATTTAAAATAGATGATTGAGTCATGAATGTATTGTTTTATTTGAAAACCTACACCTCACCCCCAAAAAAGGGGTTACAAATCTTTGATTAAGTGACTATTTTGTTTTGCAGTTTGATTGCCTGGGTTTTGGAGTATAACATCTGGAGTCCTCGCCTCACAAGAGACATGCTGTACAGGGTAAGAACTTATAGTATAATAATCAGTCAGAAAACAGTTAAGGTTTGCTATCTTTGGAGCCAGCCAACTGTTAAAAATTGGCATTGTTTTTAGCAGCATCACTCTTAAAGAGGATCCACCCTAAAAGCAGAGAGATACATCTGTAAATTAATTAATTTTAAGGAAAAAGGAACTGATATCCCCTTTCCTAGTCAATGCTGCCTATATATACCAGCTTGTGGAAAAAGTTATTGAGCCCCCTGCCTTCTTTGAAAGCTGTCTTCCATGAGTAAGTTTACATTGTGCAAGTTGAAATAATTATTTCCTTGATGACAAGTTTGTTTCCTTGGCAGGAATTCATGTCTGATAAGGTCACACCAGGATTACCTGGTTTGGAAGATCTTGGTGTAGAACCTTCCACCCTGGAGACTATAGCCATATCAGTTCTGCGTCGACACAGACAGTCTTTCTTCTGGGATGAGTCAATTGACAGTGATGCTCCATGTAGACCTGCAAGCTCTTATGCCTCCAACTAAAAGATAAACTTCCTTTGTGAGAGAAAATTAACATTAACTAATGTATATAATAACTTGCGAGTTTGCACCTCCTGAATGACTGTATGGGTGATTTTGCAATGCCATGGAGTTTTTGAAGGATCAATCATTCAGTGATGCAAAGTTTAGTTATCTGTTCATTTAAGATGTTTTGCTTACTCAAGAAGTAATGCTGTAAAATTAGGCTCTGAGTGGGTGACACATAACAGTGTATCTAATATCTTAACTATTGTGAAAATAAAAATAAAGATCTTATTTTTCATGATACAGTCAATCATCTGCTTACAGAAGTAAATATCATTAGCTTACAGTAATACAGACATCTCCAACATTGTGTTGTCTTGATCTGTACACCTCAAGAAATAAGTATCCATTGTCTGCATTAATGGATGTTTGTATTAAGCGTGTTGAGTTTAGGGAAAATGTAAGGGCTTTTCCTGGGGATGAAGAAAACTGTCCATAATAATGAGCAGGGTTGTCAGAAAGTTTTGAAGTAGACGGCTCAGTTGTCAAAGTAATCGGCCAGTCCAGGGATATTTTATTTTAAAAATGCCATCTGTAAAGAAATGCCAAGCAGAGTAGCCGGCCGATACTAACCAAGTAGGTGGTGATTTTCGCTGGCAGCCGGCTACTTTGACAACCCTGAACAAGGTATCTGTATTTCTAAGTGGGTGTCCATATAGTGGGGTTCGGCTGTATTTGAGAACTTATTACAATTAACATGTTGACTGCAAAGCACATTTTTCTTTCTATCATTTTTTTTCTGTGGTGCAATGCAACAACTGGACTCAGGAAAGCAGAGCCCACCTGTGAGAATGTACATTTTCCTTGGTTGACTTTTGACCATCCACACAAATCATTTGCGACTTGAGGAGATGGCAGAAATCCAGGCTAGGTTAAACCTGACAAAGGTTCAAATTGAATTATACATGCCATCCTACTAAAAACCAAGGTTCTTCAAGTTCGTCAATAATATGTTTGACTCCTTTTTTTCTCAAGTGAGTGTGGTCCCTACCTAATGTGTGAGAAACTTCTAGTATTAATGTCTAAAAAGCACACCCTGGTCTACACCCCCTGATGTTTTTGGGGGGCGGGAGGGAGGGTTCTTTATGAGCAACAAAATGATTTTCATGTATTTTTTGGTCCACCAGGTTCTTGTAATGTAGAAATGAATTTTTTTTGTCAACCTGAAGGTCAAAAACCAGGTTCCTATAGCTGAGTTTTGCTTATAAATGAATTTCAGGAAACTAGGAAACATGTTGCCTTTTATTGTCACTAACACATGTAAGGCTCGTTTATCACCAGGTTTGGTAGTGGGACAACTAAATAGTAGCACCTCACTAAACTGAACTCAAGAAAAGTAACAGGGACTGGGTTGATGTAAATGTTAAAGAAATCTTGCGACCAGTAACTTTTTGTAGTAATATCCTCCGTTGAAAAATAAGAAATGAAAAGTTATAAGGCACTTTATAAAAAAATAGCTTTTATGTACTTGAATTACAGTGCTATGGAAAAAAGATTTTCAGCACATGAGAAAGTTCCAGAATCTTACACTCTCAAACCAAAAGCAGTTTTTTTTCCTTTTTCTGCCCTGTCCTCTCTCCCTCACAATGTTTTTTATTGCAGTTAACTTTAATTACCAAATCTTGCACACCAACAATGAGGAGTGAGAAGACAGTCAAGTGTCCCAAAAATTTTAACTGAGACTGTAGTTTCAGTGAAAATTAGGCCAAAAAGAACCAAAAGGAAAGTACAAAAATTAGAATAACAGAATTTTATTTTTTCCAGTTAACATGCTGTTCAAGTTAACAGGGTTTTACTATAGAAAATTCACCACAAGTTAGTTCTGATAATTTACTGGCATTGTCGGGACTGTGGTATTTTAGTGAACAATTTTGACTGCAAGAATCCAATTCAAAGTTTACTTAGTTTGGGTTAATTTTGGCAGAGGAATGCCAAGAATGTCTTGAAACATTCATCATTAATTCCAGCAACTTCATCAGTCCTTCCAAGACTCTCATATAAAACAGACCACAATCGAGCAGCTGTTTTCTCCTGCTTAGTAAAAAGTGTCATGCTTGGCGAAGACCATGCACAGTTTTTGATTCCACTATCCTCTTGAAGGGAGAGTGTGTTCAGTTGATAACACATGAATGTGAACTGAATTCCATCAGTAATCGCACACTTTGTGACGAGTGGTTTCTCCAGGTGTTGACCCATCTGGACGCCATCATTCATCGCCAAGGAAACCAGTGAGCTGAACATACTCATTATTCCAAAAGCTTGTTGCTGTTCATAAGTCAAGTTAAAAGTGTTTGTCAAAAACAACATGTGATTGTAAGGGTACTTGTTCAAGGCAGTGTTTTGGAACCCTGGGTTGTTCTGTAGATGAACAATGGGATGACGGTACACACCAAGACTATAGTTATCAAAGGGTCCAGGCAGGTCCTCCAGACATGTTCTTTCAATATCTGTTAGTACAGAGATAATAAAACAAAACTTGATATAAAACCTTGTCAAGTAAGTAAGTTGGATAAGGAATAATTTAAAGAAGAATTCTCTCACATCAATGGAACTCAGGGGGAAGAGAAATGCCACAGCCATCAATAAGGAACCTACAGTATGGCAGATGAGTGATTGGAGGATTGGCATATCACTTGGGAAGTCACAGGTTCAATATCTTTTGGGGCACTGTAAGAATTCTATTTCCCAGTAGGCAATTACATATTTGCTTGTTTCAGTCTATCAGTCAGTGGGGATGAGTGTTTTATCTCACACTTGCTTTTCCTTTTGCTCCTCCTGACCTCCAAATAACTGACTTAAAGAGAAGATCACAAGTGACTGGCAGATGCTGGGAAGGGCCATCACTATGCTTGGATTGACTGGGCTTACAGTTAACTTCCATTGAATTTGCACACTAGCTAAAATGCTTCGTAAGTTTCAACCCTACCCCAAGACTTTGGGGGGAAAGAAAATTCTTCCCCATTGAAGGAGGGATTTACAATTGTCTCAAAAATGCCCTGTTTGCTAACGTCTTTAGTCATTTTGCCAACATGTTAGGTCAGTTCTCGAAATGTTTTCTCCTGATCAATGGTTTAGAGAAAGAGCTATGCACATGTGTACCAAACTTTTTCTTGTCATGGCTAAAGGAACAAGGAATATGTGTGGAACTCATTTCGTTTAGCTGTGCAGCTAAAATGGTAATGCCCTGGGATTAGCCGGATTGGGGGTGGAGGGGGGCTGGGGGGCTGTGCCTCTGCCTCTGGCGAGCCAGAGGCACAGCTCGAATTGACTGATGCATAAGTGGAATGACTTGAGACATGAGCGAATGGGTCGTTAGCAAAATCATGCATAGGCAAAACAATGGGTAATTTCCAGGGAAGAAAAACAAGTAGTTAGAAAAAGGAAAGCCTTAGGGTGTTGGATAAGGGTTTAAGAGGGATAGGCAGGAAAGCAAAAATAGTGATACTTAAAGAAGGACAATAAACTATCATACCTGGTTCAAATAAAGGTGCCGGTTCCTTTGCTCGGATTATGTAAGCTGGTTTTGGTCTTTTATGCTCCAACTGGTAAAAGTTATGATGCCTCACCCAATGAATCTTTATTTTGGGTTCAAAGTCGAGGAAGCAGTCATTCAAATGAGGGTAACGATCAGCAAATGACCAGCCAAATCTCAACAAATCTTGCATAACACCAAGTTTAAGAAGCCCCTGACTCCGTTCGTTTTTGCGATCATTAGTAGCTTCTTTGCGGAATCCATAATTTTGCAACACTGAATTCCTGAATGGCTCTTTTACGACTTCATATTCTTCAACCGGGAAGTACCTGTCTACATCTGAGAGGGAAGAGGGCAGACCCTCATATAATTTTGTTTTCGTAAACCATTGGTACTTCAAACTTGCGTTGATTTCTTTAGTTGAAGGATGCACTATGAACGCCCTTCTTATTACGTGTGGAGCTATGATCAACGGAATTCCTGTCTGATGACCTTCGTTTTCTTCTTGCACAGCAACTGCGCAAAATTTTCGCCGAATAAGAAGAGTTGTATGGCGGATAAAGAGCAGTTTGCTTGCCACACGCTTTTCTAACAAATTGGCGGCCATTTTGGTAAAATGCTTTGCTGATCTGAGCCAGCGATAGCCAGCGATACCCGCCCAGTAAGTACTTCATATATGGTATTTCTAATGTACCGAAATTGTGTCAGCTTGAGTGACTGTTGCCATATATGAAGTATCTAACAGGTAACAAAGATGGCGGACCAATCGACGACTTGTTTGGCGAGAAGTGTTGAAGTGGCAAGAAGAGAACTCAATAATCTACGGCGTGATTTAAATTCCATGAAAAAGATGTTTATTCAAAAGTTTAAGGAAGTTAAAGAATTGATCGAAAAAGGTGAGACTAAAACTTTGCATAGCCATTGTCTTTAATTTCCCTTGGGACAGACCTTGCTTACAATGTAGAAGATTAGCCCATGCTCGATATATTAAAACTCTAACGTGTCTCCAAGGCTTTAGGGATAAAATTGCAATTTTTTTTTACAACTTCGTTGTCTCGCAAATCCCCGAAGAGACTTGAGCGCAAAGAAAATCAAAAATAGAAAAATGACCAGAAAGCCTCGGAGTCATGGTAGAATTTTAGAAGCAACTACAGAACATAGCCATATTTTAAGGGCTTAAACAAAAGTGGCTCAGTGGCCCTCTAGTCATGACAAGTGTTTAAAGAACAAGAAAGATATAACACATATAAGACGTAAAAGTATAAAATTTAAAGAACAAGTAAAAGTATGTGTTTTTGTGGCTCAACAACAACAACAAAACAACAATAACTTTATTTATCCATGGTTAAGAAATCATCAGGCCAAGTGAACTACTAAAATTAATGATTGTAACCTACATAACTAATTAAAACTTTAACTAATTAACTGTAAAAAATTAAGTCTGCTTTACGTGATTGCCGTGATTATCAACATATTTCATTGGCTTGATCGTTCGTCAGTCGAGGTTAGTGTCTTAACGAATGAGAAAGGTATGTATAATGGTGGTTTGGTGGTTCTTCAGTCAAGGTTTCATAGTTTAGTGGCTCAATGACTTGGTTGCTCGTCAGTCGGGACAACCGAGCCGCCCACGACACCTAGAGGATTTGCCTAATATTCTAATTCTGTGGTTAAGCCAAATTTTACTATATGGAATGTGGGCTAATGAGCAAATTGAAGGTGTCATACAGCTGAAAAACTACCTCCTGAGCAGTGCACCACTATAGCATAGTAATGCCCAATTTCATGTTTTATAGAGAATGTAAGCAAGCAACAACGAAATTTTATTTCTCTCTCTGAGCCTGAATATGGTCCTTAGGAATTCAACTCGAGTTTGGTTCACTACATTTGACAAAGGCAGTGGGTAGAAAACTGAAAGAACTTAAATTTACAGCAGGCTCACGTTAAGCAGATGCATTTCTGGACATAAGTGGAGACATGTTAAGGCAGCAGTTATAATCATAAGCAAATGGGTGAGAGCCCTGACTTGTTTTTAAACAGGTTTTACCTGTTCGAAGTTGTGAAGTTGCGAATCGAGCTCAAATAAACGGTTACATTATACGCCCTTAGTTCCCGTTAATAGTCCTCCTACTAGTCCGTTCACCACTGTCCTGTACGCAAATCAAGTTCCTTTTTGCTTCGAATGTTAACGCTCATTCCGCATCTAATTATCGTACATTAAGTCTCTTGAGACCCGACACTACATCTCCCCCTTTTTTTCTAGTGTGGCTCAAAGTCTCTGTAAATAGTGTTCCAAGTAGACGTTCTTGCACGCGCTGATCTTCTTGGCCCGCTTACTGCAATATCGTCTGGCTGCTGTTGATGTCCCTCCGTTTCCGTCGCTCCTAGGGATGTTGGTGGACCATCTGGCTCGTTACGTGGACTGCCAATTGTCATCTCACTGGATGCGCCGAGGTTGTCGGGTTGCAATCGCAAATCTTCCCTGGCTCCTGTTTCAGTTTCCTCCGCACTGGATGTATCCAGACCTTCTTGGTCCAAATCCACAGCTACGTACTCATCCTCCCTCGCGTGCCTCAGCAACTTACCATGGGATGAATTCCGGGATTTAATCTCCCTACCCCTTTTCACGGTGATCATACTTCCTTTCACGCCTATTACTGAGAAGGGTCGGGGGTCAAATGCTCGGGTGAGAACATCTGCTTTGCTCTGCTTCAAAAGAACTTGGTCTCCAACCACTATAAGGCTTTCCCGGGCGATCCGCCTCTTGTCTGCGTACTCTTTCATCTGCTTCTTTTTAGCCGCGTCTCTTTGTCTGATTGGGTCGTATGGAATTTCTCCTGCAGGTACGATCCTTTCCGGTAGCTTCCTCCGTAGCTTTCGGCCGAACATGAGCATGTCAGGGCTTTCCTTTGTCGTTGGGTGGGGTGTGGCGCGATAGCTGCCAACCGTTCTTTGCACTCCCTCCCGAATAGCTTTTCCTTCAAGTTTAGAAATTCTCGCACTCTTCGTGAGGGTTTGCATGAAACACTCCACGTCACCATTAGCTTCAGCCCACCCAGGGGTGACCTTTCGGTTTCTGAACCATTGTTCCTGAGCAAAGTTCGCAAACTTTGATCCATTAAACGGGGGCCCATTATGCGATTTGATCTCTTCGGGGATCCCGTACGTGTTGAACACGGGCGTAAATAGGGGAATGACGTAATCAGCAGAAGTACTTGATGTAAACTCAACGACTGGATACCCGGCATACTGGTCCCAAAAGACCAACGCCATGTCTTTGTTTCGTAACGGCCCCGCGAAATCTACACTGACCTTTTTCCACGGACCCTTTGGCAAATCTGTCATCTGTAGAGGCTCTCTGGTGTGACAGGGCGTGGTAGATTGGCAAGCGAGGCATTTCCCTACATGCTTTTCGACCATTGTGTCCATACCAGGAAACCACACATGGGCACGGAGTAACTGCTTTGTACGAACAATCCGTTGGTGGCCTTCGTGAGCAATCTTAACCATGGGGCACAACAATGCGTTCACCGCGGAGAACGAGCCCATCAACTACGGCCAGTTCGTTGAAAACGTTAGAGTAGTTCCTCAAGTCTGCGTCTTTATGGTCTATACTCTTCTCTTCGACACACTTAGTCAATTTCTGTAATTCCTTGTCATTTCCCATTGTCCGAGCGTATATAACTTCTCCTCTGGATTGGTGTGGCTTTGTGATATGGCTTTGTCGGTCTATTTCAATTCGTTCCGCTTGCTTATCCGACATTTCCTGGGATCTTGCGAAATCCAGGGCTTCCATTAGGGTATGAGGTTTGCTAAGCAACCGTCGTCTGACCCGCCTCGATTTTCCTTTCTCTATTAACTGCAGTTGAATTTCAACATCACGCCAATCCGTCGGAAAATCGCATGGACCCGCAGCCAGTTTCAGGCGAGTAGCGAAGTCATCGTATGACTCCTCTTTCTCTTGAGTTAGCTGCCGAAACTGGTATATGTTAAATAGGTGATGTTTTCTGGGGTTCAAAATATTCCATGAGTTTCTCAGCGGCGGTTTCGAAATCCTCACCGGTGTCTTCTAGGGTGTCAAAAATATCTTGTACTTTTTGTCCTGCACAATGTAAAAATAAAGCTCTTTTCCTTGCTTTATCCTTTATGTTAATTGCCAACGCGTAAACTTTACATCTTTCCACGTATTTTCTGAAGCGCGAACCCACCGAAGTTGGATCCATGTCGGGGTCGAATGTTCCGTAATTCAGGTTTGTATCAAAACCAGCCATTTTCCAAGAAATAGAGGAACTCCTCGTCGTCAATGTGAAGTCGCGAATCGAGCTCAAATAAACGGTTACATTATACACCCTTAGTTCCGTTAATAGTCCTCCTACTAGTCCGTTCTACACTGTCCTATATGCAAATCAAGTTCCTTTTTGCTTAGAATGTTAACGCTCATTCCGCATCTAATTATCGTACATTAAGTCCCTTGACACCCGACACTACAGAAGTTAATTTTTTTGTCCGATGTTTAGCGCCTTTTTGGAATTTTTTAGGGTAAACTGAATTGAATTTTTGTTATTAGTCATACGTTAAGTACAAATTGTCCAAGACCTTTATATTCACGATACTTACCAACTTCACACGCACATTTTGGACTGATGGGATGTGGTCTTTCAGGAAGGGAAAAAAGTTGTAAAATTTGCCAACATGGAAAATCACGGTTGAGTTTGTTTACTCCCTCAAAACGATTCAACAATTTTAGCCATGTGCAAGATGTACAGTTTGAGTTTGGAAAAAGTTTTATGTTAAATATTTGCTTGCTGTGAGGACATCTACTCACCTACAGTCATTACTGTATCCAAAAAAGTAACAATGAACACTCCTATCCAGAACTTGTCATTAATGTCTTTAAGATACCGGTAAATAGTTGTTCATTTTCTGTTGTCTAGAATAAACAAACTTGACTGTGATTTCTTGTATTGGCAGATTTTATAACTTGTTTGCCCCCTGCGAAACCATGTGACATTGCTTTTATCCCATCAGTCCTTGAGCGCAAGCAAAGATGGCAGGTGTTGTGAATAAGGTCTATTGTCCTGGATGCGTGGGATCAATGTCGATAGTCTGCAGGCATGATATGAGACTCAGGCATAATGTATGAGAGTTGGCAGGTATCTGGACATTCTCATGCTGACCTTCTGACTCCAGTCAGTGTTAGGTCGGCAGTCTGTTGTTGCTCCAACCAATTACTGTTTGGGTAAAAGTGGGGTGGGGCTTTCAAGTGAGTTCTTGGTATCATGGGATGAGGTCAATGTACACAACATTATATAACTCCCTATGACAGTTTATCAAGAGAGCCAACGGCTTTTTGTAAGATTTTTTGCCTACTGTAAAATTTTTGATAAACATATTTAATAATGAAACATAAGGTTATCATGAATATAATACTTTCATTCAAGGCTAATACAAGTCCACTATTCCAATTCATTAGTTCAATGTGGCTGGCAAAGTCGTTGTTAGTACAGTAGCCTTGGTAAAGTTTCATGGCCTATATGGGCGCATGACCAGTAGGGAAGCCTAGCTTAGGGAAGATGGGGAGTGATGGTACGTAGACTTTCTACGTTACTCTAGCAGAACTCTCATTTCAAACAGATGGGGTTGCTCACTGGAATTTCAGAATTAAAAATGGGGCATTTATACAGCTGGAGGTTCTCCAAAGTTGACCACATTTTCCAAATCCAGCCTACCCCTACCAAGGGAGAGTAGTAGGACAGAGAGGGAATCTTACGGCGTTGGCCTGGATATGTCAATTTTTTGACCCAGGTGGCTTGATTAATTTTCCTTTTTTATCAATATGGTGAGACTGTGAGGTGATCATCTTTTTTTAACCCATGGAACAAGTTATTGTGGGCACTGCGATATGCAAATGTATCACTCGGGTGTAGACACCGTTCATAATTAGTCAGCTCTGCACAAAAGTGCCCGATATCAAAATGACAACTGTCTTAGATCTATCATTCCCGTTCTGCGATCAAGAAGTGCATTGTGCCCAGAGCTTTTGATGTTATGATTTTGTACCCTTCCATGCGGCGATAAGTTGTCTTCTTGTGGACTTTGAATGTTTTAAATTAGCACTATAGCCAACTTTGAGACAGACGTTTATGAACTTTTGAAGCTTTTTGACTTGTCAGGGGATAAACATGACAAAAAGATCAGCAACTGCTCTTCAGCTCCCAAGTTGGTCCAAGCTCACGATTCTTCCATGAGTCTCACGATTTTTTAACTTTTCTCCCGACAAGACTCCCAGTCTCATGGTTTTTAGTGAAATATCATTCTGAAATGAAATGTTTCTTTGTTCAATAAAAATGGGAATGTTTACTGTTGCTGAATCGTAATTGATTCTCCTCATGTAAACGAATACCAAGTGGTACAATGCCGTCAGCAAGAGACTTCACGGCGGTTTTGCATGACACTTGTCGGCCATATGCTCTTCAAATGCGACGAAATGAGTTAAAGCACGGCTTTTACTGTCAAAACCCTGCTTGTTTTGGTAGAATATATCTTTCAATTCTTCGTACTAAATAAAGCTCTACTAGCTTCAAACAGCATCCACCGGCAGAATTTCATGGGCAAAAAATATTAGATATGATTAATTTGACGTAGAGGAGTATCGTTTGCTCTCATGGCGCAATAGATATCATGTTGCTCTCAAACGCTAGAGGTCTGGGGTGCGACTCCCGCCCAAGGAAACTCTTTCTTTTTTCTTCGTTGTTTTGTTTTTGTTTCTCTTTTTTAAAAACTTATTTTCATATTTTGGCGGACTTGAATTACAAGTTAATTATGAGCTTTTCATTTCTCAAATAATTAATTTTAATAATAATTATTTATTAATCCACAAGTTAGCCATAGGCACCCTTTAAGTGTTCTTGTTTTTCAGGTAACAGGAATGGCGTTCCTGGGTGGGGAAATTGGGGTAAACACCATATTTTGTTTTGAAAAAATGATCTAAAAGGAGTCAAAGTTGTTTTACATTTAGGCAATTACACCATTCAGGGCTTGAAATTGTGGCCGGTCAACAGACAATGTCCTGATCGAAACTCTCATCAAATCTTTGGATGACTGGATCTTTGTTCCAGTTGTTTACGCTTCTAATGGAAAATTCAACTATTAATTCAGGAGGGACCTGCTGTAGAAATGAAGCTTGCAAGAACCCCCAAATATGGCATAATCAAGAACAAAGAGTATTTCATTCAGATATGAGACCAATTGGCTTTGTTGAATCATGCTTCAAGGAGAAAAATGGGATTCCCAGACAACCAAGTGTGTGCCCATCAGCGAAGGCAAAGTTGTGTGTGACTGTGGAAGGATTTACCAACCCTGAACACTCTTTAGAAGGATTGGAGAAGTTTTCACATGTGTGGTGAGTTTATAATGCACAGAACAAGGCACCTAACGACTCTTTTCTGCAAAATTACTGTTTGCAGGAGCAACTATTGCCTAGAAATTTGTAAAGACCTACATGTAGAAAGGCTAAATATTTCTGTCCAAGATATTTGGAGGTTTTCTACTAATTTAACTATGTTTTTTTGAGATTTTGTTTTTCGTTTAATAAATTACCAACTGAGATTGTTTACAGTAAAAAAGGTCCTGAAATTTTTGGAGTACAATACTCATTTCAGTCCCCTAGAATCTTCTCATGAAAGTATGGCTACTCCATGTCCCTGAACTTTCGACAAGATTCAGATGGGTGGTGGACAAAACACTGACCCCCAGTCCATGGCCGACTACCTCCATTGACTACTTATGTATGGACTAAGCTAAAATGGACTATTGTGCTGAAGTTTAGTGATTACAGTTAGGAAACTGAGTGAATTAGGTTCCATTTAGGGTCATTAAACTGGGAAAACTAACCTGAAACTTGATTCACTCGGTTTCCTAACCCTGATCACTAAACTTCATGGTGTAGTCCATTTTAGGGTAGTCCATAGCGGTAGACAGTCTATGGACTGGGGGTCTGTGTTTTGCCCGCTACTGATTCGGATGCGAAACGAAAAAACCACTTAAAACTTTGGTGAGGATCAAAGTTCCCTTGACACATCCGAACAGGTAAAAAGTTTTTAGGGCAGCTTCAAATTAACCAAACATGCTTCTTAAGCATTGAGAGAACCATTTGAGACACTTCTGTTGTATTGGGAAACATTCGGTCCTTGGGTGCCCCTGATAAAAATGTGTTTACTTTTCTCTGTTCCTGCTTATTATCATGTACATCAACTCTTTCCTTCCTTGTTATGGGGCAGCAGAAGACTCTTGACTGGAAATGCAGGAAATTAGGGCACCGTTTTGGGTGGTTTGTTTCCTTACACCTTTTCTGTCACTGCAATAAATGTGCAGCGGTTTGCTTTTAATCCAAACGTTGTAACGTTGTTTTGTTTCATACACTTTAGGGTCATCTTTTTGTTTCACAAGAACACCAACAAAGCCATCAAAGCAAAAGTCAAACCACCTCGTTTAGATGGCGGAAAGGTAGGGGTGTTTGCATCTCGCAGTCCTCACAGGCCCAACCCTATTGGACTAACATTGGCAAAGCTCGATGGCATCATTGGCAACACGTTGTTATTGTCTGCTATAGATCTACTACATGGAACTCCGGTACTCGATATCAAACCTTACGTCCCAGACTACGATCAGCCATTAGCTGTCGACAGCAAGGGCAAATTGGAATCTGAAAGCAGTAACGTAACTTTGTCCAGTAGCCAAGATGTCTTACAAATGCAAGAAACAGTGAATGAACTTTCACTGAACTCTGTTTATGAAGAAGTAAACCGATGGCATGAAACACCAAATCTAGAAAACCTGGAATCTAAGGCAACATCAATAAATATTGCGGAATGGATAAGGAATCCCCCTGTTAAGGGACTGAATGTTAAATTCTCTGTTGAGGCCGTAGCACAAGTCAACCATTTCCATGGTAACTTGTCACAAGAGGAGGACTCACAATCTGATGAATTGGCTGGGGATGCCAATAACCCAGTGTACTTACAGAGGTGTAATTGCACTTCAAAGCCTGAACAGTTATTAAAGAGCTTTACCTGTAAGAGGAATTGTAAGAATGAAACCGGCAGTGACAGTGTAGTTTGTTCAACTGGAAGGGATTGTAGTAGCATTGATGAAATTTCTTCGGATGAGAAAGACATCGAGTTGATTAACAGTTGGAAAGATGATGTTGTAGAAGGAGTGTTTACTTCTCCTAGCCCTGTTGTAAGAGAAAACGATAACGAAACTGTACAAGAAAAAATCGGTGAAACTTCTACCCCTTTATGTCATGGCGAAGCTCAGCAGTCTCTCGTCCCGTGCATATATCAACTAAAAATGCTCTCTTCGCCAGAGGAGGCAAAGCAAGCCATAACCGATATTCTGAAAGCAGATCCCAGGTCAGTATACAGACGGAACCATTGTCAAGATCAGTTATATCGCTTTAGCATTGATACAATGAATATTACTTGTAAATTTGAGGACTCCTCGGTTGAGGTGTTACAAATAGAACCTGTGTACTTCAGAGAACTGGACAGAAACTACCGCGATTAAAGGGAAGGCGGGTCTGATGCAAAAGATCCCCAAATAAATCCCGGTCATTTCTGTAATGTGAAATTTGCCGCAGCTAACAAAGCTTAGGCCAGTTTAAGACGCTTTGCCAACAGTTTCACAGCAGAACTAGGGCATTTGAAACTCGGATGTCTTGTTAGACTACTATAGCAGGTTGGTGAAGGCGGGTGAAGTTGAGTTCACTCAGAGTTTAGAAGAACAGAAGAACAGGCGGGTAAGCGTTGTTTTGAACTCTACTTTTGATCAGTTTTGAAGATAACTTCTGTTCTGTGTTAGTCAGTCCATGCGTTTTCTGAGCTCTATCTGACATATTTAAAGTTCTCATTTGATTACCGCTTACGAAGGCGTATAAATAAACTTTTTTGTATTTTGTTTCGCGTCCTAATGTATTATCAAATGAAATGGGTGCGACTTCGTTTTTCTTTTCGGTTATCACGTAACCTCACGGGTTGTGCATGAGTTAGACCACGAGTAGTCCCCCATTTTTCCTCAGGGATAGTAGAGCGAGCGAAACGCGAGCGCGCGTGAAAATCATCCCACGCGAGAAAAAGCGATTTTTCTCTCCTCCTGCCGCGTGTCGCCTTTTCTCGCGTGGGGTGATTTTCACGCGCGCTCTCGTTTCGCTCGCTGTACTATCCCCGACGAAAAATTGGGGACTACTCGTAGTCTATGCATGAGTACACTCAAGACAGCGCAATAAAACGAAAGGAAAACAACTTTATTGAACCGCAGTACTTTACATATATAAATTTTCTGATGGGCTACTTGAATGGGCAGGATGGGCCTGTCTTGATATTTCCTGCATTGCTTTTTGGCCTATATTCAGTCATCTTGACTTCAAAAATGATCAATAACGCATATGAACAGTTATGTACTTGTTTTTACAAAAACGTTGACCGACGTTGTCTTGAGCTTGGGCTGTCTGTGTCCCCTTGGCTCCTGGTCTGCCTCATGGTAAGCCCGTTTCATCAACTTTCCTACAGTAAAGTATACATAAAACAAACTGATCTGAGTATGTTTGGACTTAGAATTGATCGTGACTTAACACTTAACGTCGGTTGTTCAAGAGTTGAACGGCGCTTTCAACCAGACAAATCCCCAGTCTAGGGTTCGTACAAAGTCTTGAAATCTTGAAAGATAGTCTTGAAATTTGCGGGCCAGTTTTGCGGACCATTAAAAATACTGAGAAAATGGGGGAAAAGTCAGGATTTTTTCACTAAACGTGTAACAAATGCAAAATTACTGGTTGATGCTTTGTTCCCGGCAGTCCAATTCTTAGTTGACCTCGTCTAGGACCAAAGCATTCAATCGTAGACTGGGAACTTACGTCTGCGTTGCACTTTGGTTACTGGACGTTTGCTGAGCATCTTGGGAAAAACTTGGCTCCTGCGTTTCTCAAGGTTTTAATGTATTACTTTCTTGATAACCTAATGTCTGCCAAAAGAAGTTATCGTTTTGGAAAAGTCTAGAATTTTGCATCCCAAAATCTGTCATTCTCTTCCCAGGTAGAGACTAATTGTTCCAATCAACCGGAGCCTGCTGTCAAAGTTCGTTCAACTTGTGCAATATTCTGTGAGGCGCTAGAACGTACTGTTGATTTTATCTTTTCTTTTTCTGCAAATAACCAAACCAGATATTTTTTATTGGGCATAGGTCTGGTTGAATGTTATCCGCTCCTGGTGGTTGTATCGCTAAGCGCGTTTTTGCAAAATGACGTAATATAAAAGATTATAAAAAAACATAAAACATATTGCTTATCAGAGTGTATTAAAAACTCAAAGGTTAAGAGTTTGTTTTTATAGTGCAAAGTGCACTTAGGTTGGTTACCCAGGTATTTTACAGGCAATCCACTCAAATAGTTTGAAACAAATATTTCAATTATAACACAACGGGATTAAAAACCCCAACTGGCCGGAGGCACCCACTTGGCTGTTTACAAGCGTGGCCGAGGACTTGAACTCCGGACGACCGTTAACAAATCCAGCAAGTGGCCATAGCGGGACCAGAACCGAGACCGCCGGATTGCGAGTCCGACGCGTTAGCCACTTGGCTACGCTGCCTCCTGTTGAATTTTGGGGAAAATGATGAACGGTGCGATAGATCCTGATCGCCCCGATCGTCAGAGAGTCTGTGATGGGTCCCGGTACGATGGGCTGCAACTTCTCCGGGGAGACCTTAGTTCTGTCCAGACGAATGCGATCGTCCTGCATCGGGCGTCGCGAAATAAAGCGACCGGACATATTTTAGGACGGCTCGGACGATCAAGTCTATTCGGTATGGAAACCACTCTTCATACAAAAACCGTAGCATCATGGGAAGCCTTACCGGTGTCGATTGAAGTTTGTCTTCAGCTTACGGACGACTCTTTGTTGTATACGCTTTATGTGATTCGTTAAAGACGGGATCCCATCAGCACAGGCTATGCAATCAGTCATCAGTTCTACAAATAAAACATAGCAAACTTTAGAGGGTGAAATACTAATAAACAAAAAAAGAGGTGCATAATTTTTTTTTCAAAATGAATGGGACGTGATAGTAGGGAGGTCGCGACAGCAAATCAAGAGAAAATAAGACGCGCGTGATCTGGTGAAAGGGGCAGTGGTGGGAAAAGAAGGAGAGAGCCTTCACCTTGCCTGTACACAGACGTTGTTTATATTTTATCACCCGCGCTCGAGGGACTTTGAAGAGAAAATAGAGGGTCTGTGAACAGGCTAGCCCTCACCTTCTTCTCCCTTTCCAAGCCCCGCGCCTTTGTCGCACCAGGTTTCCTGCGATCTCTGCACGTCAATAGAGAGCTATGCAAAGACGTTTTTGAGCAACGCACGTCAACCATAAGTGAAGCCTTTTCCTTTTTAATATGTGTTGACGCTACCAAATTTGTAGTGTTAAGTGTTTTTATTCATATAAAGGCGAGTTGACATACGTCGCTTAAAAACGGCCTTGTTTAAACTTCTTACCATCTTAGAGCCTGAAACAGGCTAAACTCGATGGGCCAGTTATTTAAACAGAGTCTGGGCAGTGTTTAACAAAGCCGCGTTTTAAGCCATTTTCAGTTTATCTAACGTTTTTCTCTTAACGCCATTTATCGTAAAAAGTAATTTAATATTTCAAGGCATAAGGCGTAAAATACAAAAGCATTTATTTTCTAAAAATAACCCACTAAGGACGAGATCTGGATGTCCAAAGATTAGCTAAACCGCTGCGGCCAAAGTTATACTTCGTTTAAATAACAGACCCGATGTCTTTACCTTCCACTTCCTCTCGGGTCTTTAATTCTCCAGGAATATAGTATTTCTTTCGGAGATTCTGAAACAAACACATCGCTAACTAAGTCAGTATTTCCAAGAAGTTCTGCCAAATGATGGCTGGGGTAAACAAGGTGCATTATGGTCTTTGTGAAAATGGTGAGTTTACAGCGTCAGTTAGTATGATTCCCTACAGTCTTCGTCACCATTATGCAGTGTAACAGGTGACTGCGCATTCTTATAGACGAAGGAGATACATTCATAGGCGAAATCATTGTAGTTGAAGTTTAAAACAAGATTGGAAATAGCCTTCAGAAAAGGCGCTATTTTTCTGCGTTTTTCGGGTGAGCAAAACACGAAGTGGGCGTGGAGCGCAGGACACGTGCGACGCGGAAAGACGCGTTCTGCGGGTGTCTCGTGCTCCTAGCTTTCGTCGCGCTTGCCTTCGCTCGCCCTGGAAAAAGGCGAAAAATAACGCCTGTTTTGCAGGCTTGATTGGAAAATATTTTCTGGCATATCCGAAGCAGCTGTTTGGTAATGCAGCTTGAACTTGTCCTGAAAGGTTTAGAAGCTATTCCTCACCCAGTACTTGAACCTGCTGTGCCACTCAACGATCGCCACTGCTTGCATCCTCAGTGCGGTGAAACTCAGCAGGGACTCTTCTTGAACAAGCTCGTACGTTAACGACAGCTGTGCGATCAGAATGTTTAACAGAATAACAGACACACTAATCATATAGACTATGATTAGTAAAGCGCCAAGCCACCTAACAAGCAAAGAAGATCATAAAACTGTTAGAACTTTGTATTTGGAAACACCGGAGGTGATGGTTTCAAGTGTGTTCAGCAAGCCTTTGGTTACGTTCACATATGCAGTAGCGAAAGAAGTTTCGCCCGGTCGGAAATTCATGCGTTTCGGGTGTTACTTTCACACAAAACACGAAACCAAGCTAACTGTAGGAAAATTTGAACGCCTAGCCGTTCAAAAACTCGAACGCTAAAACCAAAGTCAAATTTATAGCCGGTTAATTCGGTCGAAAATTTAACCAGCAAAATGTGAACACAATAACCGTCTAAGAAACGTGGTTACTCAGCTGGGAGAACAACGACAACAACAACATCAACTTTATTTTCAGTCGAATTTTGGAGTATCTAGGGGCTAATATCTTCGAGCTGACACCACATAAAAATACATTGAACACATTACAAGAAATAAATAAAAAGTCTACACATAAAAGAAACTAAAATTTACGATTTCAAGTATAAGTATATACAAGCAAAAAGAATCTACATAAAGGTAACACGTCATTTTGGATTTGCTTAAGTAGCACGCTGCGCATGGGCCCATAAAAAACCTTTGCCGACAAAAGTTAAAATTCAACCTGGTTCGTCAGTCCCGTGTGAACGGAGCTAAAATATTGAACAGTTCCTTGTGAACTAAGTGTGCGGTCAAATTTTTAGCCGGTAAGGTGTAAACGTAGCCTTTAAGGCCGAAGACCATCATTGTAGCCCCAATCTCCTCGTCTTTTTTTGTGCTTCCTAAATTGAAAATTTAAGTGTATATTCTCACAACATTTGCCATCCCCTGAATGTACTTCATTTTGTGTAAAGCTGCGCCCTCGGATAATTCCCAGAGGATTCTAAGCCAAATTTACTCACCCTACATCGGACATGTTGCTCACAACGGACGATCCTTGTAGCCATGTCATGATTCCGGCTAAAATAACACACTCTACTTTACCACTGCACGAGCTGTCGCTCCTGAGCGTGCTGTAAAATAGGTTGTTGTCAAACAGTTATAAAATGAAGAAATTCCATAAACTCAGCTAGCATACAGCACATCTTAGGTCAGTTACTGGTGCACGAAATGTCCCTCCTGAGCATGCTTTATATAGGACGTCAAACTAACATGCGATGCCATGGAAAGAATATAATGTCTGAACTAAATCAGGCAATAATTATGCTTGTGGTAAGTAATAGGCTCAAATTTAAAAAAGATATCGTTTTTGAAGAAACTGAACCACAGGTAAAAAGGAAAAGTAATCGTGACATTCTCTTTTAAACCTTGAGTCCTGGTCTGTAATTTCAAAAAACGGCAAAACAATGTCACGGAATAAGGGTACATGGCAGAGGCAATGTTTTTTTCATCAGTCAAACATGAATGCTTTTTGTTTGTGTTTGTGGTGCAACGCAGTCATAGTTCAGTGTTCATTTAAGCTTCTCTCTCTAGTTTCAATTTCAACAACATTACACTAAGCGTACTACGAGAGACCTGTCAACCTATTTTACGTACTACTCACTTGTTTGGGAGTAAGCCTTGAAAATTCAATGGTTTGTGCGTATGTACTCTGATAGCCAAGACGAAAGAGACCGAAAAAGTGAACAAAACTATACAAAACACAGACAGAAATCGTGGAATGTCCTGAGAAATGATTTTTCCAAGACTTTTTATATACATGCCAGTGTCCCTGCAAAAAATAACGTCAAAGAACTACCATTAAAGCGGTGCTTTAAAACCATGGGGTGGGGAAGGGGTAAGGGGGGTGGGCAGGGACGGGTCTACTGGTCGTATCGGTTTTCAGATAAGGCGAGAATCCCGAATTTTACCCTAACCCACAATCTTAAAAGTGCATTCTCTCTTCTCCATGCAAGCGGAACCTCACACATCTACTTTATTGAAGATAATTCATGGCATGCAATTTCTAAGTTTCAATATGTGTACTTCTATGTAACATAGTACATACAGAGAACTTAGATATCAGACGATGCGACAAGAGGTTGCTTGTAAGAGGTTAAAGACAATGGGAAATTATTAAACCATCAGCCCCGAAACGTGATCACGTTCGCATATAGGGATTGGTTTACGAGAGGTTCCAACTGTAAGGCTTTGAATGGGAAACTTTTGCTGTTTAAGACAGGTGGTCTCTTTTGGGAGGTAGTCGCAAAGGGGGGTTCGAATGGATAAAGAAAAATAAAAGTCGTCAGCATTCCGCCGTTGTCAACATCTTTAATTAGCATATTAAAATTATCAAAGCTTCTGTTTGGTTGTCTGGTTAAGAACTCGCTCAGACTGATGGCGTACATAGAGAAGATCTTCTCTGGACTTTGACAGTGATGTGATTCTAGGTTCGTTTCCCAGTCCCCTGAGAAAACTGCCGGTATGTTGCGACGCCACCACTGGTTTCCCAGCGAAATGACGTCACTAGCCAGATCCTGGTAGTGCTTCTGATTGGTTGAAAATTTGCTTCATACAATCAGATGCACTAACCAGATCTTAGTTGTGACGCGTCATCAGCATGGAATTTCTGCGCTCGTTCCTCAAAAACTTACTTTTTTTTACAATAAATGTCGAAACCTATTATACTTGAAATTACAAATATGGATGACCTCGTGGTGTGACAAGCTAATGAAAATTGGTCGCAAATCACCTTAAAGTAATTAAGGCTCTTTAAAGATCCCGCCGCGGGTGTTTCACGCTCAGACAATCGTGGGCGTACACCCATTGCTAGAAACTGAGCCTACCCTACAACTAGCAATAAGAAATTCCCTTTTTACTTCACATTTCAGTTCGATAAGGAAGGAAGGAAGGAGTCATGGATGAGAGGGCAACAGACGCGCCCTCTTTATAATAGGGACCTTACGACACTACGACGGCGACGGAAACGGGAACGTCAAAACAGCAATAAGTTTAAAGATGATGTTACACGAGACGATTCGCCACGACGATTTTTAGCGCCCCAACACAGCGATGCAACATTGTTGCGACATTGTTTGGAATATGTACAACATTGTCCCAACATTGCAGCGCTGTGTTGCGCTAAAAATCGTCCTTGCGAATCGTCCCGTGTAACATCACCTTTAATGAGCAAAACAACAACTCTGCACGTTCATCACCCTTTTTGTATGTTTCTTTGCAGTCCCTGCAAAACTGCAACGTGAAATGACCAAATTTTGAGCTGACTTGAGAACAGGAACGGCAAGGCGATAAATTTTACTAACTCTCTCTGAACTCGGACGCGGTCCCCTCTCTTCAGTTCCCTAACTTCCCTCCTTTCAAGTAACTGGGTGACTTTGTGTAAGGGCGAAAAAGTTTTAACATGTGAACAGTAAGCTCGGACGTCAGCATACAGCATGCACACATATAATTATTTGTAGTACTCACCGAGATCCAATGGAATACTTGAACACTCCAATCATATTTATGGAGGTTGCTAAGGAAGCTGCGACCCACTGTAGTTCACTTTCAAGAAATCGGAACACATACACAGAAATAATCAACGCATATCCTGATAGATCCAGGTAGTTGAAGACATCTTGGATGTAGGTGCTCGGTTCCCTGTTAAATGTAAATATGCACTCAGTTAAAGTACCTGTCTGGAACTGCTTTGGAAAGTTATTCCTGGTGCACCTTAAAACAATAGTAGGACATGTTCCTTATCTTACTTATGACGTACTCTTACGTATTCTACTCTCTCTCTCTCTCTCTCCCCTCACGCATGCGCATGGCAAGGACGGAGGGAAGGGGGATGGGTGAAAAGACGTCTGACACTTAAGATTAAAATGATCAGGTAACAGGTCTTAACTGTGATTGGTTAATCTTGGGCATGCGCATCCTTGAACCTTCTCTCCCGAGGGTACGCAAGAGAATAGCTAGAACGGCCAGAAGTAAAAGACTGACTCGACAGGACTAACAGTGAGTTCGAAAGCCTTTTACTACACAAGGGGGCCTCACATCTTTATCAGTATTAAGAAACAATTGCAAACAAACAAGTTTATCGATGTGTACTCTGCGAAACACGCTCAATCTGTTCTAAGTGGCGGCAATTTTGAATTTTCAATTTCAAAATGGCCGCAAGGAGAAGTGGATTAACGTGAAGAGTGCTCGGATCTTCCAAGAATTTTCTAGCCTTGCGGCCGTACGAGATCCCAGAACGAACCTTTGTTCCAGACCTCGCAACATGTGATCGCGTACAAACCCCGCTTTACGGACACCTGCTTAATACGACATCTCATCACTATTATGGCGGACAGTTTGCTTTGTCCCCGAGGGAAACATTTTCTCTAAATTCAACCCACTTAATAAGGACACCCCGTTAATACGGACACTTTCTATGACGGCCCCTGGACCCCCTCAGTATCCGTATTAACGGGGTTTGATTGTATTTAAAATTCAAAATGTATCCCACAAAAAAAAAAACGGGTAAACGCATATTCTTTTTGTTGTTCCAATCAGAATCGCCTGGGCTCCCTGTGCCACTTTCTTAAACTTTATAACACTGTGGAACCTCGATATAACGAACCTCTATAAAACGAAGTCCTCGGTATAACGAACGATTTTTCTTTACTCCAGTAACAGTAAAATATATGAAGAAGAACCTCGATATATATCGAGGTTCCACTGTAGTAGTAAAGACGTGGTTTGTTATGAAAAATTAGCACCTTTTAAGCTCAGCAATCTCATCACATAAAAACCATATCGTCATCAAAATGCAGAAGGTGTCAAGAGCGAAAATTGGCGTCCTATAATCCTCCGGGTCAGATGATCTTGCAGCCAGCAAAAAAGATGTGACAAGAGCCAAAAGGAAAACCAAATAGTTTAATGTTCGAAATCTGAAGAAAGATAATACATAATTATGAACATACGTAACTTAGTGACTAACCTACAGATAAAAGCAAGCAATGAAGGGGAGGTGGAGAGTGACGAAACAAAGTAGCGAAGAGGAAAACGGCGAAGTTACGCAGTGAAGTAGGAAAAACAAAAGAGTTTCTAGTTAAACTTTCGTTTCAAGGCCTTACTGCGCTGTTTGCATTCCAGCAAGGTGTTTTTGTACCATGTGACTGTTTAGCTGGAAAGGGCCCATTGTGCTTCTTGTAAGTCTTCCTAGCCTGTGAATACAGCTGTCTCGGCGTATTCGCAAGCTTGCCTGTGCCAGGCTCCAAGATAGTAATGTGCAGTGATCGTGAAAACTAACGAGTTTTTTTTTCTGCCACCACTCCTTCCGACCACAGATCAAGCCCGTCTTATTTTAGCTTGGCTTGCTTTCGTGACCTCCCTAGGCCTACCATCTGAGAGCTTGACATAGGCAATGCCAGACCAAGGCAATATATCAACAGTCGATGATAGGAAAGGATAGGGGGGTGGGACATTTAAAAGTGAAGGGGATGCTCGTCGTGTCCCTTAGGGATAGAAATAGCAGAATTTGGTCTCACTTAGGGTGTTCAAGGTCGATCATCAACATTTTCTCAAACAAAGGTATCGCATAGGGTTGTGCGGAAGTATCTCCTAAAACAAAAGGAAACTGGGTCATACTGTGTTGAATTATGGTCTCCTTTAGGTGTCCAATAAAGCCTAAGCCACGTCTAGACTGGTATCCTTTTGGGGTTTAATCCTAATTTTCAGACGAGCTTACCCAATACAGTCAGTTATACGGGAGTTCCCGCCACCTAAGGGGTGGGGGTAGGGGGGGGGGGGCGCCCCGCACAAATTTATCTAAAAAGAATCCCAGACCTGAACCAGAAGAGAGCATACTTCTCCCATTTCCTTGCTGTCAGCATTTTTATGACAGCGTGGTTTAATATTTCCTGCAAGATAAACAAAATGCCAAAAATGTACTTTTAAAAGACTGACCAGTAGTGGGGTCTTTGTTTTTTGACAGGAGCCTGTTTTCGATTAAAGTCGGCAGTACATGTGTCATGGGAATTCTCCCAAGACTCGGTTAAAAAAGCTACTTTAAAAGTACGCTCGCTGGTGCACAATGTAGTCTTTGATTAATAGAAGCAAATCATTATCACTAACTTTGGAACGTTTTCCGCAAACAACATCGCCTGCGTGCAGATGTCTTCTATTTCAACACTATCAAATGAATTCGGAAAGCGTCGATTTGGCGCTTTCAAATTTTAATCCAACTTTCTAGGGACCACTAAACAATTCCATGAAGTAATTCATGGAGTAGTTATATGACCGATTGGTTCCCAGTCTCTTACAGCTCTACCTAGTGGCACGCCGGCAGCCCTCCCCCCGCCAGGGCCTCTGTTGTGTGCGTTAGGGAGACGATTGGGGACTAGAAATGGGAAACTCAAAGTCAGATCATACAACAAAAACAATGCACCCATTGAGTTTTTTCCACCCATTACACCTATGACTTGCACCCAAGGGTAGTTAGTACGGTTACCTTGTTGAGTGTCCGGTTGCAATATTTAGCCAAATTATAGTAACAAGACCTAGGTGTGTATTCATATCCAGGTTCATCCGGGCATCTTCCGTTTACATCACTTTCCAAGATGTCATAGGTCACGTGAAAGTGAGTGGGTGTGTCCTGTAAGTTCCTCCATGAAAGACACGGAACAGTGTCACTCGCTAGACATGGCGGGTGGGGCCAGCGAGGAGATATAAGGCAATCAAGTATGGCCACAATGGTTTTCTGTCAACAGTTAAATGAGAAATGTAAGTAACTTGAGGCAGAATTAGTTAGTTGTTATCATATTTCTTAATATTACATCCCTGTATTGGTCTCCTACCATGGGTATTTCAATTTATTTAGAACAAAGTCTGCAAGAGACTTTCTAAAGAAACTTAAGTGTTGTTTAGTGTTGTCGGTTGAACAAAGCGGGTTTTCTACCCTTCGAGCAAGCTCACTTCTTTTTTCCGGTTTTTTTTTTTGGGTGGAGTGGTCGGGGACGTGGAGGTGGAAAGAGAAGAAAATCGTAGCATATTATTTCTGTACATTTGAGACACACGGTATATTATATTAATGTGTGGGATTGAATAGAAGGTGTGTGTCCCTCGTTGTCGTCAGGACCGCTCTTTGTGTCCGCTTTATATGGGGTGGGGGGGGGGGTGGGGGAGGGGGGCGAGAAAAAAGGAGAAAGAGTTTGAAGTCACTTCTCAGGATTTCGCAGGCTAGGGTTTCGGATATAAAGAATGAATTTCAACGCCTGTACTTTAATTTATACTTTTCCTGTCTTCACCTGCATTTTGAATTCCTCTGTAATTTTTACCAAACTAAGCGAGGCTTTCTTTTGCTGGTTGGCTCTAAACAACCGTACAACTCTAGAAAAAAGAAAAGAATAGTAAAGTATAACATATATTCATTACCGTAAATCTTGATGATTTTAGTACAAAATTCTTTTTGACTGACCGAATAAAAAAACTCGGCTTGTAAAAGACGAAACAAAATTTGGGAAAAATTTCATCAAATATTAATAAAACATGGTTCATCCTTAAAGTGATTTTCGGCTAACGATAGTAAACCTGCTGGGATAATCAAGAGATAATGAGTTCTCTTGTCTTATATATTAAAGTGCACTTGCTCATATTTGTGAGATCCTAGGTCCCTGGGTTCCCTGTATCCAGCCTAACCTTCTGTGATCCATTCTCCTGATAAGTACTGCAGCTACATCGTCCTGGCCAGTTTTGATTGCAGTCTCAACCGGAAGTTCACCCTGGGCGTTAGTAGTCAGGAGCATGCCGGGATAGTTGTTTATCAAGAACTGGGCAACTTTGACGAAATTCTTTGTGGCAGCTATGTGCAATGGACGGTTGTGAAGAATATCTTCAACATTCTCCAAATTAACACCTTCGTCACACAAAAGCTTCAGAAATCTGCAAATCTAGGATAGAGTTGGTTTCAATGAGTAGTTAATAAATGGCAATTTCTAGTGAGACTCATAACGACGATCGGTACATTAAACGCACGACATTAATTATATTTACGGGATTTGGTGCCTAAGTTACAGTAGGAACATTTACTTGTTTGACGATGTCCAATCAGATTTGTTTTCCGTTCGTATTGATCAGCGAACAGATCAAAATTAGGTGGGTCAGAAGACGGGTTAGCAAAACGGGTAAGCAAAATCCGTGAATAGCTGCGACTGAAATCATTTTTGCTCTTAAATTATATAACTTAACGTCAATCAAAGAAAAGAACTTTCAGTTTTTCCAGTAGTATTTTACGAATTCGGGCGCGGATCTAGAATAAACACTGACCGATTTACTACTTCTAGAGAGGTCTGGGGGCATACTCCCCTGGGAAATTGTTGGAATTTTAACTCCCCAAAGTCCCCTTTCCTGGGTCTCTGAGTCATTCAGACAGGATATTTACTGACTGTTCAGACCATTTTCCAGATATCAACTTGGAAATTTTAAAGTTTTTTACTAAAAATATATTTATTACGAAAAATTTGACCGATTTCCGTAAAACGGTGGAAAGCGGTATGGCCGGATCCGCTCGTGGAATTATCGCAGCTTTTCCTTTCACTGGAATGGTGTTCTCACCTGTGGCTCGTAATTCCATTCCTGTAGCAGAAAAAACGCGGTGTTTTCCTTTGTGTCACAAACGTCTATCAATCTTTGGAGGCGAACTGTGTCCATGGCTTGATGCCTATCGATACCTTTTTCTCCCATTTCTTTTTTGACCTTTGCAACAATAAACAACGGCAACAGCAAGTAGCATAATTTACACGGATAATAGTGTTATTGCAAACTAATCATCAAATCATACGGGAAAAATGAGAATTAAAAGAAGAGAAAGAAGAGTGGGGATCTAGGGAAGTACTAAGCGCTTATGGAAGTGGCGGAGGGGAGGGTTGTAACTCGTCTGAAATAATTTATAAAGAAAGATCGATTTTCCAGATGGCGAAATGAGTCGAGTCAGGTGCAGACTGTGACAGAGTTTTAGGATATCATACCACAGTTCTGTTGACATTTGAAAAGTCATTTGCGTCATAAGTCATACAAAAAGAAAGAAGTGTGTGTTTTTGGCGGTGGAAGGAGGGGTGGGGGAGGGGGGGACGGAGAGTGAGCTAAGCCCCTTGACTTTCCCTACCAGCTCTGTCTTGGTAACCTGTCTTGGTACGCTTCTGTGCACAATTTCGCGTTTACAGAGTAATTCATGATATTGCTTTGTGATTTGCAAACGTAATATTTTGTGATTTCCCCTTTTTTAAACATTCTATTTTGAGGGACCTAATTTTCAAAATTCACGAGGGTCGATCAAATAAGCGTTTTGCTTTGATTCATAAACACCTGCTCTTAGCTATGCGGTTGAGTGATGTATGTGAATGTCTGTTGTTTTTAAAATAACTACATATACTAACTTGACTTATTTACATAGCGCACCTAGGGTTATTGTGCAGAAATGAAAAAACACTTTGCACACGAGCAAATATTAGGTGATTATCTAACTGCGCAAGAAATGAAAGCTAAATTACCATATATATGAACTGATTAAAAAGGTAAAAGGACTACTTGAGCAGAGACCTAATTTTCACGGTGAAAATGAAACTGTAGCAGATTATAGGCATATTGACTGTTTTACTCATTACTATTTCATATCAACCTTACGCAAAAAGACGAGAAAGCCTCCAATCATGAAGTAAATGTAAAGAAAAATCAGAAGATTGCCTTTTCCTTTTCCGGGTCAGTTAAAGCTTATATTTGGAGTATTTACATGTAAAACGTGCAATCGAGGAATTGGACTATCAAAAATCACAATACGGAGTTCCAAACTGAGTTTTAACTGATGAGGTTGGCACGAGTGAAAATTATTGTAATGCTTTCTGCGTAAGGAAGGGTGCTCCTTAATGATGTTTACTTTAGATTAATAAAGTTGATGGAAATTAATCAAGATGTCAGGAAACCACGTCCTTTGCTAAGGGCGAAACAGAATATTGATAGAAATAGTGTTAATTTCGAAACTATGGTAGTTCATATTAAGTCATTCTAGAGTTTTTTTTACGTAAGCTAATAATTTCAGTAATAGCCAGTTTGTGTTAAAATATTAACGCGAAAGGGACCAAAATCAAAAATCGCACAAAGCAGTTTTAGTAAATAAAGACATGGTTCCTTTTTAAATTTTGACTAAATATAATTAAAACCAATTATAAAACTCAGTAATACCGTAGATAAAATTCTTAGAGGCCTATGCGAGAAATTTAAAACCGAAGTGTTGGCTTTTGTGGTATAATCAAGTTTTTAAGAAAACCCTGCCTATCAAGCATCATTAGCCGAGCGGTGCCAGTAAATACTACACGCAATTTCGAGAAAACGTGAACTGTAATTACATACCTGCTCGTAAAATTCCTTATTATTGTAGCGTATGATCTCCGCACAATGTTCTTGTAGAGTAAAAGTGCTGTTAAAGGAAGACATTAATGTATCGTCCACAATAGATGGCTGTCTTTGAAGAACTAAGTCTTGAGTGGATGTTTCGAAATCCATTGTCAGAACCAGTCTGGGTGCAAGTTTGATTTTGATTTTAGTCCTAACAGACCCTCTTCAAGATTTGATTACAAACTGTCAGTGAAAAGGTTATTAAGATGTCCGGAATACGTGTTCCCAAACTTAATTACAAAAAAACAATGCTCCCGGCAAAAAGAAAAAAAAAAGGGATTTCGTTTTTATGGTCGGCTTCAGTTACGTAATCAGTAAGGTGACTAGGTAACGTTTGCATTCTGCTGTGATCTCTTTAAGCTAGAAAATGAATTAATAAGAAATTAACTGTCTAGTGCTAACGTAAATTTGATCTTATCACAATAAACAGTTCTCACTTCTTCTTAGCTTTGATAGGCTGAGAGTATGGAATCTGCTGCGCGAATGGAAAATTAGTGATAATTTAGTGGGGTGTACACAAATGCATTATCTATTAAACTCGCCAACTTTTTTCGCTTTATGATGTTCTTTACTCTAGCGAGAAAAATGTCTCACAGAGATCTCAAAGTTTTCTAGATGGTATAACATTTGTTCGCACGAAAAACCTTTGAAGACTGATCTGTGGACTTAAGCAAGCGCAGCATTTCTGGAGAGAACCACAATTTTTTTAAAGACCGCTATCAGCTTCATCTTTTGGGTTATAAAGCTTTACTAAGTTTAAGCTTGAGTGACTTGATATTAGTCAGGGGAAAAAATGAATCGCATTCAGCGCCGTCCACCCTATCTTTGAAAATCCTTATGAATAGCCATTAAAGCTTTCAAATGGAAATTTCCTTTTTCTTAACAGCTTGAGATTTTTTGTTTTGACGAATGTTATCTTAGTGTACATTTTTTAAATATGAAACTCCGCGTGCCTAAGATGGCTTTTACACGCAAGCAATGAATCACATTTTGCAATTTCTGTAGAATCTCGATATAATGAAGGGCCAAAGGACTGGCAAAATTTATTCGCTATAACGAGGTTTCGTTACATCGTGGTTCTTTTTCATATATTTTACTATTACTAGAGTAAACAAAATCGTTCGTTATACCAAGGACTTCGTTTTATAGAGGCTTGATATATCGAGGTTCCTTTTCACATCCTGTATTTTTTGGGTTATAAGGCGCACTCTGTTATAAGACGCACCCCAAACTTTTCAACGCGATTTTTCTAAGTTAACAAACTAAAAATTAACCCAAAATACCCGGCTATAAGGCGCAGCCGCGATTTTTGGCGATGTTCACCATAACTACAACAACACGCTTTCCAACGACGCTGATTACGGCCATTCACCTAACAAAAGCGAAAAAGGCTTCACACTTCGATCAAAAGCGAAAAACTACACCTGTCAACACAAAAAGCATTGTTTTCTAAAGCTGCGAATACTTAGGGAATCCGTTTTTGTTCCATAAACAAGTCAGCTGTCTTGGTTGTGGCATATTGACATATTGGTAGTATCACAGGTAACCCAGGCTCACTATTTGTGTCACGTACGGGTGTCATATAATATGATTAAATATAGCGAACATATGGGGCGAAGTTTAGGTTTGGAAAAGTGCTAGAAAATGGAAATAAAACTATGAAACTTACCATGTGGTGAGTTGTTGTTGTCCTTAATACACACACGAAGTTTCGGGAAAAATAGTCTCCTTCATATTTCCTACATAGTTAAGTGGCGCCACTTTACTATGTAGGAATCCTGGATAGTATTTTCTTACAACATCACTATTCCAATAGAATTGTATTTTATTTGCCTCAATTAAGAATAAGAACATTATTAGCCATGAAAACGAGAGTTTTTCGTAACTCACTGATTCCGTGCGTATTGTGCACCAATGATAGAATTGGGGCTTCTCTTAGCCCGCAAGACGCTCTCTCGATACGGATTCGTGCCCAGTCGCTTAACAGAGGATTGGATACGAGAACGGTCGAGGCGCACAAATAATGGTGTGACCCACTTGGCTTAGTAAGGTCTAGCCTTTTGGAGACAAAGTTTTCTCTTTTCTTTCCTAACAGTAACTCACTACAGAATTGTAACTTTAAACTCTTGGGTCCTTTGTGAGCCTAAAAGTTTAAGATGGGACAGCCAGTGGAATATATACAGCGAGTTCAAAGTGTGCGTCACATAAAACGCCCCATATTAGTCATACACCACCTTTTGAAGGGAGTCACATAGAATCTGACAGTCTTTGTGGAATGTTGGATTCTGGCCAAGCAGAACATTAACTTTTAAAATTTTGAAATTCTGAGGTCTCTTGAAGGATACATTTGTTTTCTTTCCTTACTCCTCAGTCTAGTTGCTCCTAGAAGAGATCACATTCTGTGGAGTTTTACTGTTGAATTGGGTTGATTTCGACTTGTCAAACAAATTCAGCACAGTTCTCACCACAATATGTAAGGACGCCAATGCAGCAAGAGTATGCATGGCGTAAAACTTGCAGCCAGCATTTCAAGAGAAAATCCCTGAGGAAAAGTGCCATTCCATACTGTTTTATAGTGCCTTCACCCAGTACTGCTATCCAGACCACTTCTGAATCCATGCTACTATTTGGTCCAAATTATTTTCTAGTTCCTCTGTGGTGTCACTTTGCAATTCATGAACAATTTCCGTTTTGTAACTTTCTCTAGCCTCTTCCAATATTGTCTGCATAATTTCACATTCCACATTGTCAGTCAGCTTTTTTCCACTGTAACCCCTGAAATATTTGTAAAGCACAACGGTCATGAGAATAAAGGTACTTTTTAGCAGAGCTCTTGCGCGCGCAGCGGAGACTCCAATACTATAGAAAATGAAAATCGATCGATACAAGAAAATTTGGCAGTCAGGTGACCATCCGTCCGTCCCTACGTACACACGTACGTACTTCCACCCCTACATGTCAGTTTCGGAGAAATTTCGCATTCAAGCACCTGCGCGTTTTGGCGGTAAATCGCATAGCCACTTGACTTTTAGAGAGAAAAAAAAACACCAACAACAAGGCCGATTCCTTTTTTTCTATTATTTTTTTAAAATGTCTACAATGACGTGGATATCAGAGAATGAGCTAGAGCGACAGATAAAAACAAAGGACAAGAACTTCGTTAGGAGAACAACGTGAAAATTGAGAAAATGAGAAATGGTAGCGGCCAGGAAGGTAAAAACGAACGGTTGTGAAAAAAATTAACAGGAAGTGCGAACACAATTTTTTGTGAGCACATACGACATTTTCTCCATAAAACGCGCAGCTACGAACTTTCTCGTTGTAGTCGTGCAAATTAACTACAAAGAAGTGTACAAAAAAGTGTGTTCCTTGTGGAAAGTTTTGTTTTTGGCTACTAAGACCAATTGATTTTTTTTCCCGTTGTCATTGCTGTCGCCGTTTAACATTACACGTGATTCTATTTTTTTTGTTTGAGTAAGTCACAGGTATACAGTGTATTAACGAAAGCTTTGCTTTTAGCCCTGGCTAAAACTATATATTATTCACTCAAAACATTTCTCTGTTTCTGATAGGCTTAAATTCGCCAGATTATTCTTCTTAACTTGTAAGCGTTGACCAAATGTTAAAGATGTTTCCCGATATTGATTAGTCTTCTTCGCTAGTGCTCAGGCCAGAGTCAAGCAGTCGGGAGCGTTGCTTGACTGCAGCCTGAGCAGCTTTAAAGGAGACTAAATATCAGTAAGATTGACGTCAATCATATTAATATTGGATGAAAGTGTTATGCAAGCAACTGGGCGGTGGCTTAGCTACATTGGCAGTACAGAGGTGACGAAGAAAACTGAAATCAGAAATACAACATATTAAGGTGATAACTCCTCTAAAAGGAGTCTGAAATATGGTGTAAAGTTGAATAAATATTTACCGTTGTTCAAGTCTTTTGTAAAGAATTGTGTTGTTTGTACGTAGGACAAATACTATGTCAAACCATCTCTCTGGGAAAAAATCACATCCATGATAATCCACAACATTTCCACCTTCACACATCTGATCTTCCAGTTCATCGACTACCTGAAATAATATTATTTTAAGAATTCTATCTAAGTCAAATTAAAGATAATAAAAATAATGCTCATAAGCTATGGGCTCCTGACCCCAATAAATTGCTTATGGGATCTTCTAAAAGAAGTGAAGGGTTGTCTTCTTTGATCGGAAACCACACTGAGTTCCTCCGAATTAAGTTGCATGTGGCTAAATTTATTTTAGGTAAGGTTAAACTCGAGCCAATTACTCTCTCAGGCACATGTACTGCAGAGGTGCCCCTTTATGTTCAAGGACTTTTTACATCATTGCCTTAGTTTTGCTTTTGTTGCGGATCATTGCGAATCTTTTCTACATCATTTTCTGCAAATTTGTGCAGATTCCTTTTGCCCCACCCTTTCATTTCCACAGGGCCGGTCTCTTCGCGTAGGTAAGCATCTGGTCATGTAAGTCTTTTCAACTGGATCAGGTTCCAGTGTGACAGGGCATGCTAATGAATGCTGCAGGCATGTTTCCTGCTTGCAGGGTTGCTATGGATACCTCCCTGCTATGCCTGGGTTATGTTAGACCCTACACCACTAAATTTTAAGGCACCAGTTTCAAAGGTAAGCTTCAAGTAATACAAAAAGTAAAAGTGCAGCAATGCTGGGGATTATTTGCGTTATACTTGCATCCCACGCGCGGATGAAGGACAGCACACTGTCCCACACTATATAGCTAGTCAGCCCTTTTGAGTGTAAAATATATTCGGAAAGTATGTGGCATTCCAGGAGGACATATAATGCAACAAAAAGTGCCTACTGCTTACAGCAAATTTGGCATAGGAAACTTCATCTATGTAATTTGAGACCAACTTGTCTGAGATCACATTATCTTAAAATATCAGAAGTCCTAGCTAGTGGCTGCTGACATGCTACCATGCTAGACAAACCCCCGCAGGAGGGGCAGGAGAACCTGGGTTAACTTTTGCTACAATCAGGGATGAAAGTGTTGAGACACTTCTATATTTAAAATGGCCTCTTTTTTGCATAATGGACATATCTATCCCCTTCCCCTACATACCGCCATCCCCTTCCCCGAAAATCACTGTTGTATTTCAGACTCTTAAGTCTTCCTTTTACTATAACCAATTGATTTGATCTGTTAGATTAATTGGATCTGTTACATAAACCACTATTATTATTATTATCATCATCATCATCATCATCATCATCATTATTATCATTATTATTATTATTATTATTGTGTTCGAGGTACGAGAACGCAACCCCCAATTTCTGCTGGAAAATAGATTGTGACGACTGCAAATAAGCACATTTGCAGTTTTTCTGATAATAATTATCATTGTTAGCCAGTCCCCAGAAAAGCCACGTCATGATTGGTGGACTTGAATACTGGTGCTTGGAGTAGGCAAAGCACAGGAAATTAGAGAGCAAAGCAAAAGGTGCAAAACCTCTGTCAACAGTGCTATGTTGCCAAGCCTTTGATGTATTTTACTTTTTGGATAACCGCCCCAGTGTCCCGGAGGTTTCATTTTAGTTAAAAATGTTTAAAACCTAAGAGGGAAAACAGTGACTAGTCACAAATAACGAGTCAAGAATTTGTTTCAGAGCCTCCACATGCATACAATATTTTACTTATTTTTTATTTTTTTCAACACGTATAAACTGTAATTTGAGAATGATTCTGTAACCTATAACTATAACCCATAAAAACTGTAACCCATAAAATAACTAAAAATATGTAAATAGTATTTATTACAGGAAGGATATGAGTTTTAGAACACTTCCAGCTATTTCAGACGAACCTAAATATCAGATCTTTCCAGGGGAGCATACCCCTAGACTCCCAGAGTAAAAGCATCATGCTACAGCATTTAGCTCAGTAAAAAGAAAGGCTATAAAATGGATTACAACCCAATTGCCAATCCAACCAATGTGTTAAACTTACAGCTTAGGGAAGATTTGGGAAAAACATCATGGTTACTCCCCTACAAGTCAAGTGCAAATCACTTGTTATAAAGGCCCGGTGCTGCCACGTGCAATGCTGCAGATTTGGTGTGCACAAACAGAGTTTAAACAAAAGGCCCATGCACTTGCCATACCGTGCAGACTGGAGTTTTCCTGGCTGAAAATGGATTCTTAGCGCAGTTTCATAACTATATGAAAGTAGGCCTAGAAGCAATCCTGTGTTACTAGTGGTGAAACTCATAGCAAATTATTATATACATACTGAGAAATACTCACCAAAAATCTGTCGTAAATTTTCGTACGCAAATTAGTTCTAGCCAATCAGAGGAGCGAACGATGGTTTTCACACGTGAAAAAAATGATACCTCCAATCAGAATCGTGAACGTTTTTTTTTTCATGTGTGAGAAAAATGATACGTCCAATCAGAAGCCACAGAGGTGTGTGAGTTTCACGCCAAAATTCCCGCCTTTTATTGCAGCTCGCAGCGCCGCGTCGCACACATTCAACGAGAAAAGTTTTACTCAAAGACTTTTTCTCGCTAAAAAAGTGAAAAACATCTCGGAAATGGAGTGGAATAGTTTCGTTTGTTTCACTGTCGATAAAGAAAACGGTAGAGAGCCGGCTAAACAACAGCAGAAAGGGATAAACAGAACGAGGTGTAAGCTTTTGTTATGCTTTTTGTCAGAGCTACTTTGCCTTTCATTTAAGCTTAAGCTTATATTGAAACCAGCCATTTTACTTAAAAACACTCATTTTCAATTGTGCATTGAGGACAAACAGTTAAGATTACTTATAGTTCTTGGATTACCTCATATCCTCACAGTCATTTATGTTTTTAACAAGCGTTTTTACTAAAAAGCTGATACTTCGTTTTCATTGTCATTTTGCGGTAAGTGTGTAGCGGCAAATTTTAACGTTTTTGAAAGATTTAAAATAAAAAGGCCACCAAAATGATGAATGTCTCAGTATGTATATAATAAACACAATACCACATGGAAAGTGCTTTGAACGGTATTTACTAACTCGTTTTTTTTGTATCACAAATCTTACTCGTTCGCTGCGCTCACTCGTTCGATTTCTGATACGTCAACAACTCGTGCGTAAATACCGTACGCCAGCACTTTCCATGAAGTATTCTCTATATATAAAATACAGTCAAAGGTCTCGTAAGTGACAACCTTGGAAATTCGAAAAAGTGGTCATTACTAGAGAATGAGCTCTCATAAGCAACTGCATGGTAAAACAATAGAGGGTGCTCACTCACCAGAGAATCAGAAACTCATTGATAATTTATAAACTTAAGGCTTCGTTAGGCTCAGTGAGTGATCATTGCCATGCAGGCTACGTGGTCGCTACAGAAAGAACTAAATACAATACTGCACTGTGCAAGATCTTATCAACGAACCATTAGTGAAATGTGCAGTGTCATTTAAAGTGTTGATTTATGTGAATAAAGCTCTGAGTAGTCCCTTATGAGAGCTTAAAAACTACGGAAAATCCAGTTGGGTAATCCCCAAAGTGCGGTCACAGATGCTTATGGGAGTGGTCACTTATGACAGCTTTTCATTACAAAGCTTAAGTCACAGTTTGAACGGGGTTTCACAAAGGTGGCTGTTACCAGAGCTGGTCGCTTACGAGAGAGGTTGCCAGTACAAGTATAAACAAAGGCNAAAGAACTAAATACAATACTGCACTGTGCAAGATCTTATCAACGAACCATTAGCGAAATGTGCAGTGTCATTTAAAGTGTTGATTTATATGAATAAAGCTCTGAGTAGTCCCTTATGAGAGCTTAAAAACTACGGAAAATCCAGTTGGGTAATCCCCAAAGTGCGGTCACAGATGCTTACGGGAGTGGTCACTTATGACAGCTTTTCATTACAAAGCTTAAGTCACAGTTTGAACGGGGTTTCACAAAGGTGGCTGTTACCAGAGCTGGTCGCTTACGAGAGAGGTTGCCAGTACAAGTATAAACAAAGGCGTTTCCTCTTTGATGAGTCTCACAGGAATCGAGAATCGTGAAATGAGACGCAACAATTGAGAATCGAGTCTCAATTCTCGCGAGAATAAAGAATCGAGTGCCAACTTACTTTAGAATGGTACTGTACAGACCTTCCAACCCCTAATAAAGAAAAATCTGGAGATTTTACAAAAAGTAGTGAGATTCTATTTTTTTCCCCATCAAGATCAAACAAACCCTTTTTCATTTGGGGACGGGGGTGATGTTGGTATTTAAACATTACCTTGCTTTATTTGTGATCCCTGTTGTAACAAGATGCTGCTTTTTTAAGGACCAAGAAGTGGTCATCACTAGGAAAAAACTTATAGCAAAAGGGTCATTTCTTCCGAATAAGCCAACTAATCGTGGCCAAAATGTTAGACAAAGTGCTAACAAGGCTTTAAAAGACACTATCCTTCCCCACTGAATTTCCATTTTATTCAACATGGTAACATTTCATTTTAGAATGATTTTCCCCAAAAACCGTGAGATTGGGAGCGTTGTTGTGAGGCCGTGCGAAAAGAAGAAACATTGTGAGACTCATGGCAGAACGTGAGAGTTGGCAGGCCTGCAAGTAGAGCTTCAACTGCAAAAGAAAGCGTGAAGTTCTACGGACTTGTAGTATCTTACATTGTACACAAAATTTCTGAAATGCATTAATGAAAATTGTAAATCAAATGTCATGTCTTCAACAGCAAAGTTTGTATTTTTGTTTTAGTTAGTTTTACCTCCCAAATTACGTGAAATAGCTTTGCTTAAGTGCAGTCGCTAGACTTATACCATTATGATATGGAACAAGCAGCTCATTATACTGGGCAAGTACTGTGTAGTTATTTACATGCCATTTGCCTAGAGACACGTTTTGTCAAAAAAATATTTTGTCGGACCCTGTTCGAAATAAACTGCTTTCGAAATGAACACTCCCTAAGAATGTCACGCAAAGAAGTTTAAGGTATCCCTATTTACCCGTACAAAAGGATTCCAAACATTTCTTCGCGATCTTTTAATTTCAGTAATTTCCACTTACTCTGTCTTCGTCGAGCACGTGGCAATTATACTGTTCATCCCAGCCTTCAAACAAGTTGTTTTGTTTTGCCAGTTCGCCAACATTGATGTGATTGAGTCCCGTTCTTTCTGCTATCTGGTTCGCTAACACAGACTTACCGGTGCAAGGAGTTCCCGTCACCAAAATATTTGGTCGCGTTCGATTATTGAACGCCATGTTTGCTGGATTTCTCGTTTCCTTCGTCCCCAGTCCTTTTCGAGTTTTGACGGCTCGCGAGTACGAGAATGATACGCGAGATATCACGGGCCACGGGAATGCCGTTAATCGCATTTTGTTCTTTTTTGACGAACCTTTAGGGGTCTTAGGGATAAGAGAAAACTGGACAAATAATATAAGGGAATACGGATAATTGACAAAATAATTTTGCGGATAAAGGATAAGTGAAATATTTTAGGGGGTTTTTACATGAGATAACTCGCACCGGTGCGAGTATCATACCGGGATGACTTTTTGATTTCGTATCGCGTTTGCATAATGACTGGGTCACTTCATATCTCGCTATTTGAAGGTACAATTCACGATAAAATACACGTGTGATTCAAAATCGCAACATTACGGATGTGCTACTCGTTCCAGTCTACCGGGAGACCGATTTCACACCGAAACGGGTGGACGTTTTGTGTTTACACTATACCGTTGCGAGATTTCGTACCGGAGTGAAATTCTCGCCCCACGTTCGCCCCGGTACAAGAGCCGGGGTGAACTCAAGCCGGGGTGACTCGCGCCGGCCTGACATTTTGTGGTGGTATCATGTAAACAAATATAGAGCCATGAGAGGGAACCGGAGTGAACTCGCTCCTAGGCGAAAGTCGCCCCGGTGTCATGTAAACACCCCCTTAGGCAAGTCTTGGCTCTACCCTAATTATGATCGACTCGCACCTTTTTCGCTTTTCCGGTGTTTTTTTCTTTACGTACCCCTGACCACCCGAGTTCGGTTATCGCTCGTTTACATGTCATTGTCAGTCTGAGCTTAGGCCATTCTCCAGCTCCAAGGGGTCATGAGGTCATGAATGGCCGACTACTTGTTCATCAGTTTAGTACAAAATTAATTGGTTATTATAGGATAGAAGACTGGATTATAAGGTGGGAATAGCTACGCAGTATTAGTGTCCATGTACACGAACCAGTTCCACGACTTTTGCGAATGCTTGTCTGTGACTGCTAGCCTGGGCTGCAGCCGGCCCATGCATTGTCTAAACCATCTGTAAAGTCCATCTGCGAATTAATGCACAAAAGATCGTTCTATTCAGTATCCTGCAGAGTCGCAAGGACATATGTGAGCGTTTCTGATAGGCGGATTTCTTACGGGTTTCTTATGCCCCTTACGATTGGCCTTTAATATTCTTTAATACGTGTGCGTGATGGTTGGGCGCAGTGACATGTCAAAATTCACAGAGGGCAGTTAGCTGGAGTTGGCAAGCGGAACGTAAAATAACCCACAGTACTATTCAAAAAGAGCAGGGGAAATTTTCCCTTTGGTGTGGTCTACCTTTCGTGGTCCTTGTACGTTGACTTCCGAACCTACCGTTAACATGTTAATATATGATGTAAAGAGGGCGCCTCTTATTATGTCCTCTAGTAAACGACATTACACATTACACAAATATTAGACTAAACTTATATATGGGGGACAGGGGCGGGCGAAGTATAGCATATTCATGCAAGGGAAAATTAAGTGAAATAAACCACAGGCAGCCCAAACTCACGTTACGAGGAAAGGGTGTTAAGTAAAGTAAAGTGAATAAACAAAACAAAACAACAACAACAAATAAACAAACATTCATGCATGCCGATTAGCCCAGAAAAAATTCCTGCAGTTCTAGACTACTCCCACAAAGGTATTCGGAAAAAGCTGGGGATGAAGGAAACGTGGAANTTCTATTCAGTATCCTGCAGAGTCGCAAGGACATATGTGAGCGTTTCTGATAGGCGGATTTCTTACGGGTTTCTTATGCCCCTTACGATTGGCCTTTAATATTCTTTAATACGTGTGCGTGATGGTTGGGCGCAGTGACATGTCAAAATTCACAGAGGGCAGTTAGCTGGAGTTGGCAAGCGGAACGTAAAATAACCCACAGTACTATTCAAAAAGAGCAGGGGAAATTTCCCCTTTGGTGTGGTCTACCTTTCGTGGTCCTTGTACGTTGACTTCCGAACCTACCGTTAACATGTTAATATATGATGTAAAGAGGGCGCCTCTTATTATGTCCTCTAGTAAACGACATTACACATTACACAAATATTAGACTAAACTTATATATGGGGGACAGGGGCGGGCGAAGTATAGCATATTCATGCAAGGGAAAATTAAGTGAAATAAACCACAGGCAGCCCAAACTCACGTTACGAGGAAAGGGTGTTAAGTAAAGTAAAGTGAATAAACAAAACAAAACAACAACAACAAATAAACAAACATTCATGCATGCCGATTAGCCCAGAAAAAATTCCTGCAGTTCTAGACTACTCCCACAAAGGTATTCGGAAAAAGCTGGGGATGAAGGAAACGTGGAACATCGACCTTTTTGGATAAACTGCCTGCTTTATCGTGTTCTTATAGAGGCTAGTGTCATAAGTAATTTATTCCATAACTTTTAAACTTTAAAATAAAACATAAAAACTACACCTCTCCAACATCCCTGACATAAAATTACCTTTTGCCCTAATTTACTTTACAGGTGAGATTATGGGAACAAAACACCCCTTATTGTTCTACACAAATGAAGTCAAAGCTGACCAAATATACTACTAGCTAACAAACAAGAAATCGTGATGAATAAAGTTACATATGTTACGTGAAAAACTGCTATTAATGGAAAGTGCCAGAAGCACTACTGCTATGTCAGTGTTCAGGTTTAAAAGGTGGACCATATGACATATCATCCACGTAATCTCTCCCAATTTCTCATTACCTCATGTGAACACTCTTTTCACGTATGACAATGTCTCATTTTGTGGCCAACGCTAAACTAACACTGATTTTAATTTGGTGTTTTCAGCCATAAAAGACCCCTAGCATGACCTTTTCTTAACGAGATATGCATGGAATTTCAGAAAAGCAATATGAAACTGATCCGGCGACACGTATAAAAGCTTATAAAAGGCAATTGTATCAATTTACTTTCACAAACGTGCCCAACTAGCTAACCTATAGTTAAATTGTGTATGTGAGATGTACAGCAAGATTCCGTGGAAACTCCAATAGCCCTTCTGACGTTCGACATTAAAATCGGCTAACATGACTCCGAGGCTTTCAGTTCATTTTTCTATATTTGGTTTGGTTTTTTCTGTGCTCAAGTCTCTTCTAAGAATTTCGAGACAATAGAGACAAGAAATTTTTCAATTTTGTCCAGAAAGCCTCAGAGTCATGTCAGAATTGTAACTATCGAATGTGAGCAATTATGTCTCAAAATGATATAGCAAAACTTATAGGTGAGAGAGGCTCGGGCTTGTTAACTCCCTTCAGCACTTAGAAGTTGACCCTGGTGGGAAGCCGGAATTAGAACTCAAAAGCTAGCCGGTGCAGAAGGCTTCGAAAGGGGTAGGAGATGGGAGGAAGGAAATATGGAGGCGTTTTCTCCTCCCCCCCCCCCCCCCCCCCCCCCTTTTAAAAAAAACCCGGGAAAGGCCCAAAAAAAATCCCCCCAAATTCCCCAAAAAAAATAAAAAGAACCACATTTTTTGTTTTTCAAAATTTTTTTTAAAATTTCCTTTATTCCCCATTTTTTTGTGAATAAAACTAAAAAATTTTATAAAAAACAGGGTTTTTTTATATGGGTTTTATATTTAGAAGTTGACCCTGGTGGGAAGCCGGAATTAGAACTCAAAAGCTAGCCGGTGCAGAAGGCTTCGAAAGGGGTAGGAGATGGGAGGAAGGAAATATGGAGGCGTTTTCTCCCCCCCCCCCCCCCCTCCGGCCTAGTTACAAAAATCCCGTGAAATGGCCTAAAAATCTATCCGCAAATTCTCCAAAAAATATCTATAAATCCCAATTTTATCTCTGTCGAAATTTATTCTAAAATTTCCGATTTATCCCAATTTTTTTGGGAAATAATCACATAATTTTCATAAAATGCGGGATTCTTGTGACCGTGGTCTAATTGTATGCAAACACCTTCAAACTGATGCTAACAACGTGAACATAACTTATGGGTGAAACCACTGACCAGTAGTATTTGAATGGCAAGAGCCCGGCTCGAACGAAACAGTGGACGAAGCTTCTTGGAACCACCCAAATTTGTTTTTATGCTATCGGCTGTATTTTTTTAAACATTATCGTTTAAAACTTCTTAAATTTTCTAAAAATCCTAAAATTTTCTAAAAATCCCATTTGACACTTAAAATCCTAGAGAAATCCTGATCTTTAGGCCTTTTCCCCTCTCCCATTCTACTTTTTGCGCCTGTCACGCAGGCTACTCAAAAGTCGGACATGATTTGGTGGTCGTAATTCGGAAGTCGGAACTCAGAAATCGAAGTAGGAATTCAGAGCTCAAAACTCGGAAGTCGGAAGTCTCAGTCGGAAATACACTCCCATTCTCTTTTCGCTTTTCATATACACCTCGCAACTCACCTGACTGTTATTTGAGTATATATTTTTGAGGCATAAAAATTGACTAGTCACATTAATTTAACAAAGTTAGAAGTGGAAAGTTGCCATTCTCGGCCACGGTACAGACGTCACGGACTCGCGATTGCAATATATTCTACGACACTTCAAGTCAGTCTGAGTGGACGAAAACAAAGCGGTGGGCGAGGGGGCTCGGGCTCTTTTTTCCTTGTTTCCTTCATGCAGGTTAGCACGTTACCTGTCCTTTATCTGAACTTTTCTTCAGTTTTTTTTCCCCAGGATTTTTTAGTTATCGCTTTAATATTTCTGCTTCGACGTAGGTAAGATGTATTAAAGCAATAAGCCGGTTTCAGTATAATTCAGTTAGATTGAAACTGCCTTGACTCTTTTGGCCAGGGTATGTAAGGGAATCCAAGACAGTCTTGGATTCTGGATTCCACGTCATGGATTCCCGGTACTGGATTCGGGATTCTTTGTCCCTGGAACTTGGGATTCTTGATTCCAATTGTTAGTGGAATTCCGGATACTTTGAGCAGTATTCCGAATTCCAAAGCCCAGGATTCCGATTCTACAAGCAAAAAATTTCCCGCATACCCGATTCCGCAAGCGGAAATTCTTGGATTCCTGAATCCGGATTCCCAGTTACGTGGGTCGAATCAGTCCTTAGCAATGTCTTGCGGTTTTAGCCTGCGAAAACATCCGTTTCTCCTAGCCTGCGTGAAAAGGGGAAGGGGAAGCGGGAATTTGGGAATTTTGGCTCGCAGTCTTTCTTTGCTCCGAAACTAGGCCAAATGGAAACGCTTGCCACGCAGCCTAGGTTTTTGTAGGCAATGGCAAAAAAAACTCCTGGCCTATCTTCCTGATTCTTAGACCATCCCCCTTTTTTTTTTTCGTTTATGCGTTTCCTGATATTGGATCGGTTGGTCGGATTAAAAAAATATATTAGCATGCCTAAAATGTGTGCAATTCCAAAATTGGTTTCGGCTCCATAAAAATCCTATACCTTAATTGCAGAACATTTTAGGAAGAGCCACCCACAGATGATGTGAGCAAAGTCACTGACAACACATATAAGTGAGGAAAATAACGCAAAGTAAAATTAAGATGTTATTTAACGAACTGAATGTACAAGTCCGGCCATTAAAATAAATAAATAGATAATGCACGCGCACAAAATAAAACCGAGCGCATACATGTACCAAGATACAACTGAAATACAAATCTTGGTTTTCACATGACGTCACCAAAATTCAAACTAAGAAACTATCGCTTCTTCTGAGTTTCTACTTTCATGTGATATTAGAGCACCTTAAAACCCTTATACAAACAAATTTTCGGTTCAAAAGGGTTCTTTGTTTTGCGAGACTGGACGCTTGAATTTCCAGGCTTTTGCGTTACGCTGCATTTAGCTGCATTTAGCTGGCGGCCAGGATGGCTCTTATGTAGGTTAAAAACATAACGGATTTTTTGAGATTTTGCTATCTAAATATTCCTTGTCTTAGAATAAATATTGCTTTAATATTTATGAGTTCCTCAAGCGAAGAATTGACGCATAAGTAGGAAAACTCAAAAACAGATGTTTCTGTTGGTTTCCGGCGGCCATATTTGTGCCCTTGAAAGGGACACAAACATGGCATCTCCATACAAAGCTTTATAAATTTGGGTAAAACATTTTACCGAATATTTCGCCGGCATATGAACTACTGCATAAACCTGATTCTTGGCAAGGCTTTTTGTATATTTATCTTCTTTCATTTTCCAGATTCTAGAGTTTCTTTATTAAAAGGTTTCCATTTTCGCTGTGGCTATATGGCCGGTAACCGGTCAAGGTGTTAAAAATACTAAATGGCCGGCAGTCCCATATTCTCGGTGAATTTCACAAAATCGAAAGATTCTAGCTAATCTAAACTATCATATGTCGATTAAGACAAGTCAAGCGACCCTGAAATACCTTATAGAGTCTCAAGTCTAGTGTTTGGTTTACGCTGGGCTCAGAAGACGAAACCATGTTTTGTGACACTTAGAACTTTTTTCAGCTCGACTGCCGTTCAAGGTTTTCAAAAAACTAAATGGCTGTCAGTCCTATATTCAGTACATTTCGCTGTACTTTTCTTAATCGACATATGATAGTTTGGTTTAGCTGGATTATTTCGATTTGTGAAATTTATGGAGAATATGGGACTGCCGGTCATTTAGAGCCAGTTTGAAAACCTTTGACCGGTAGTCGAGCTGAAAAAAGTTCTAAGTGTCCCGAACCATAGTTTTGTCTTCTGAGCCCAGCGTGAACCAAACGCTATTCTTGAGATCTATAAAGCATTTCAGGATCGCTTGACTTTTCTTACTGGACATATGATCGTTTGGTTAAGCTAGATTTTTTCGATTTGTGAAATTTACTGAAAAGACAGGACTGCCGGTCATTTAGTATTTTGAAACCCTGTGGCTATATGACCGGCAGTCTGATATTTTCACTAAATTCGACTTATCTAAGAAATAAATAAATTCGACTTATCTACTTATCGACTTATCTAAGAGTCTTATCTAAGGATCCCTACCAATCCAAACTATCATATGTCGATTAAGAAAAGTTAAGCGATCCTGAAATGCTTTACAGATCTCAAGTCTAGCGTTTGATTTACGCTGGGCTCAGAAAACGAAACCATGTTTAATGACAGTTGGAGCTTTTCTCAGCTTCCTCTTTCCTCTTTCCTCTTTCCTCTTTCCTCTTTCCTCTTTCCTCTTTCCTCCTTCCTCTTTCCTCTTTCCTCTTTCCTCTTTCCTCCTTCCTCTTTCCTCTTTCCTCTTTCCTCCTTCCTCTTTCCTCTTTCCTCTTTCCTCCTTCCTCTTTCCTCTTTCCTCTTTCCTCTTTCCTCCTTCCTCTTTCCTCTTTCCTCTTTCCTCTTTCCGCTTTCCTCTTTCCTCTTTCCTCCTTCCTCCTTCCTCTTTCCTCTTTCCTCTTTCCTCTTTCCGCTTTCCTCTTTCCTCTTTCCTCTTTCCTCTTTCCTCTTTCCTCCTTCCTCTTTCCTCTTTCCGCTTTCCACTTTCCTCTATCTCGACTTATCTAGGAAACATCGAAGCGACTCTGCTAGCAGGGTAGACTGCCGGTCATTTAGTGTTTTAACAATCCTGACCGGCAGTCGACCGAGCACCGCGTAAACCAAACGCTAATATAAAGTGTTTCAGGATCGCTTGAGTTTTGTTGATCGACATTTGATAGTTTAGATTAGATGGATTTTGTCGATTTGTCAAATTTATTGAGAATATAGGACTGCCGGTCATTTAGTGTTTTAAAAACCTTGACGTGCAGTCAACCTGAAAAAAGTTGTAAGTGTCACAAAACATGGTTTCGTTTTCTGAGCCCAGCGTAAACCACTAGACTTGAGATCTATAAAGCATTTTAGGATCGCTTGACTTTTCTTAATCGACATATCATGGTAGTTTGGATTGGTTGGGATTCTTAGTTAAGTCAAATTTATTGAAAATACCGGACTGCCGGTCATTTAGTGTTTTGAAAACCTTGACCGGTTACCGGCCATATAGCCACAGCGTTCCATTTTTATTTCTGCTTTCTCACGTGAGTGAAAACCGAGAAAAAGTAATAAATAAGTGATCTAAGGATACGATGGTGCAATTCAAGCCTGGATTGCTAATCTCGTCTCCCGCAGGACTGCACCATACTTCCCGACGATAAGGCCATGGCTATTGAAGAATTTATTAACTGATTTCTGAAGTAGATTGGTTTCAAAGCCTTGTTGTCTGAGACGTAATGAAAGTCCGCGGAGTCTATTTATGAAGTCCACTTTGGACGCGTAAATTCTAGCATATCTCACCAGTTGAGTTATATAAACACCGTAAGCTGGATTGGCGGGAATGTTGCTGTCCATTTGAGGAAAGTTGACGATCCGGGATGCAAAGTCATCTCTGTTCTCTTAGATGCTGATACGGATCCGAAAGGTGTATTTATGTCGCCAGTCTTGTTATTCGTGTCGAGATAACACACTTCAGTAGATGATGTGGAAGTGTCAGGGCTAAAGTTCCAATTCCGAAGTGGAAATTGCGACTGATGTACTTTCCAAAGTCCACATTGTTCAGTAATACTGAAAAAAATCGTCCATGTACCGAAAGGTGTTGCTGAACTGGATGGCTTTTGTAATGTCCTGTTTCATTGTTTTGAATGACCATGAAATCTTAATCGAAGGTATGAAGGAGGAGATCAGCCAACAAAGGTCAGAAAGGTACACTGTTGGGCCCATTGGTATTCCAATAACCTGCTGGAAAACAGGGCTACCAAAACGAACGTAGATGTTGTCGATAAGAAAGTCAATAGCGAGTCAAAGCTCACTACAGAAGAAGTACGCGTACCTCGCGGACGTCCTATCATTTGTCTAGAAGGCGGGTGCGAAAATTATTGGTAGCAATGAAGCTTTTTCCCAGTTTTAAAAACTGTTTCCAAAAGATCATGGAGTTGCCTTTTTTAGTTAGGCGTGTGGAAGGCTAGTATAAAGACTAGAAAAGTCCCAAGTGCTGTTTTTCCCCCAGTGCCCGGATAACGTCCAACGAATTATTGATGATCCACATGCAGTTAACACCTGTCCTTTTCCGAATCGTCTTGCAGTAAGTGGTACAGTGGCTGCGGACCAGTTTAAGACACTCAGTAATTAATTTAGACTCGAGCCTAGCTGTAGTGCATGAACTTGAACCTGCAATAAATCTTGCCGTGTGAGGTGTCTTGTGAAGTTTAGGAATCCAATATATCTGTGGCAAGTCGTTCTCCTTCGATTGTAGTTTGATGTCAAATACATCCTCCAATGTTGCGGCGTGGGTCTGTATTATTTCATCCACAGTACCGATTCTGAGTTATATAACTTATGTAGAATTACGATACGTATCCAAATTTATGCCAAGCTCTTCCATTAGAGTGTGTATGTAATAATACTTGCGAACAAAGACATTCACATACTTGCATTAACAAAATGCACAATATACTGTAAAAAATGTTCATGTTTTTGTTCCTGTTTTTCTCTATGCTGTTATTATGCTCATTTTTCAGATTAAAAGAATATTTCGAGAGAAAAATGGTTAAACTACGTCGTTACTTTTTTTTTTTGTAAAAATGCCAAAAATTTGGGTCGGTCGGACGACGCTAAACGGAGAAAAAAAAGAGGATGGCCTTACCAAGGTATGTGATATTATCTCGCATGAGTTTAAGCAGAAAATCAGAGCGCACGAATTAGAATTAGACGACTTCACTTTCACTCTTGGGTACTGGCTCCCTTAATTCTTACGTTGATTAGAAATTCGTGGAAATAACTTAACGAAATTTTTGCACGAGTTTATTTTTACAGATCAGCGATTTTTTGGTTTTACGGGAACTAATTTTTGCGATTAAGACAGATTGGTTTTTCTTACAGCATGGGAATTAATTTTTGCCATTTTCAGAAAGTACCCAGTACCTTGCATTGATAATATTTTCGTTTTTGTTGAGTACGTGCAATAGAATACATGTTTTCAAACAATAAACCAGTATTTCGTTGTATACCGTTTGGTTTCTAAATGAAAGAGATAAGTTGTGATTGAACAGACCACCGTATTTCTTAGTACTGTATTTTTGCGTAGCGAATTTAAGTTAGAGAACATTTACTTTGGAGTAAATGTTTGCGGGAAAAATGTTTGCGGATCGCTGGAGAATCGCAAAAATTACAACCAGCAAAAATTTTGTGCCACACGGTACGTTGCAGACAGTCTTAATCCGCGATATAGACAATACATGGAGTTTTTTTTAAAAATCTAGATCTCGTGTGACAATTCCGCCTGTCTGCATGCAAACTATACTAGCTTGGAGAATATGAAAAAACGCGAAAACGAAATCTTTCGGTGACTTATTTTTGTATGTGTGTTTCAAAGCCCTTTTTTTTAGGGAAAGGTTGTAGTTATTCGTCTTGGCAGAAAGAATTAAAACAAAGTTATTGTTTGTCTCACGATTTAGTCATCATCAGGAGCATGGGCTCCTGGTCATCAGGCATTTAAAAAAAAATAAAAAGGGATTGACCTTGCTCAAAGAGTCACATTTTCATGGGACAGGCATGCTGTTTTTTAGGAATAACCTCAAGTCTCCGGACAGGAAATCTTCAAGTTGTGACTACCAAAATGAAACCCTAAGCGACATTCTTTAATCTAGCACACGCTTGCCTTTCATACCGATAACTTTTATCAACAGATGGTTAATGTTTTAAAGATTACCTTTCTTTGGGGTACTTAATGATAAAAGACAATGGATAAGAACAATTAAGTTAATTCAATTTATATGAGGACGTAAAAACACTATTAACTTTTATTTTTAATCATGGCCTTAGCACTAATCGGCCGTTTAGCCGAACCAAGGGCCAACCATCAATTGTTCCGTCCGTCAAACAATCCGATTTCAGAAAAAAAAACAGTAACCTCGGTGCGGGGAACCTCTGGATTCTGGAAGTCGTGCAACCCGAAGATTAGGTGGTAATAATACGCCTCTGAAACGAAAAAATTTTACAGACGTTTGCATGGTGAAGGTACAAATATGCCCCACCCCTACCCCCACCATACCAAACTGGCTGTAAAATTTCATGAATTTGAGGACTGCCCATATCTTCGCATCGACATTGCCACGGGTAACCTTACTGATTTTAAGACACTCTTTTCAAAATTCAATACATTATCTCTCACCTTGCAGCTTTGGCCAAAATTTGAAAAAACTGTGGAAAGGTTCTCATGCGCTGTGTGTTTCTCCTTTTATTTTACCTGCATGTACTAAAAGAGCTAAATTTACATCCTTTGAATTTGAGGGCCGTTTATTGCGACCTTAGGAATTTGATTTTGGAATAGATAGTACTTTGTTGTTTGACTAAGACTCTTGAACTGCCAAAAACATATTCATCTCAAGGACACTGAAAATAATTTAAAAACTGGGACTGATCAATATACTATAGAAAACCAAACCGTTCCCTGAAACGTGCAATGTTTCTCGCGCTAAATTTGATCCTATAAAATATTATATTGTTGCCCCGGTTCGTCAATAATCTTTTCACGTCAAGGCACGAAAGATCACATGGTAATCAGCATTTGGGGGTGTATCTATGGTCCAACTTAACCTGTCGTTTTTATTTCTAAAGAGAAGCCAGTAGATTGTCTGTGTTAATAGGCCCAACTTATCCCCTCTTTTGAATACTAGCCATTTTTCCGCGTCGTTACGATACGTTTCTACTTCGTAGGATACGAGCAGTACATGTGACGTGCTGCTGTGACTCGTAAAGATCCGAGCTTGTAAGCAATGTTCTTTGTGAAGTCACGCAACGCCCCTCCGAAAGAACTGCTTTGAAGCAGACTATCCTCCCTCAAATTGATCAAATCTCAGCTGAAAGGACCTGAAAGGCAAAGTGAAAGGTAAGTGTTATTCAGTTTAAGTTACTTCATGGCTTATTTCGGAAGTTTTTTCAATGTCATTTTCCGCTTTAAGGCAGTTAGCAAAGTTCCTCAGTCGGTTCCTTAAAAAATCCTCGGTTCTAACGGATATATCCAATCTACCCGACTCCTGAGGTCACCCCTCCGACCTATCCCAACCCCCACCCCCCTGATTAGACCCTTGAGCATAGCCCTTAATTCGAGGGACACCTGGTGTTTCTAACGCTGAAGAACTGGCAATTTTTTTCAGTACTTGAGATAAAAAAAATAAAATACGTCAGTCAAATTTTCGGAAATGGTAGTCCTTGAAATTCGGGCGGAGTTTAAAGTTAATTGGTCTAAGGAGAAAATCCCTTCACTTTATAGCAAGAATTCCTGACTATTTATAGGTACTACTTACAGGAAGACCTATGTGTTTAGTGATGTAACTGTCGCCATGGTAGTACAAGTGAAAAAAAATTGACATCAAGAAGTCTCCAGAATTTCGTTATAATTTTTCGATAGAAGAAAAATGTTTTTCTTCAATTTCCTGCAGTGGAATGACCTAAACAATAGTGATGGTTGCGTCAAAGAAAGTCAATCTGCATGCGACCTCTGGTGACAAACACATGATATACATGCTCTTGCCTCGCCCTCCCATGCAAGCGCATATAATATAAACTGATATCAAGTCCGCCTCATTAATTTAAGGCTGCATCCATTGGAAAACTTGTCTCTTATTGGTGACATTTCAACGATGAGCTGCTCTATATGCTTTGTCATATTTCTGGTTTTTGTTTCTGTGTTTGCCTCGACTGCCAACGGTGAGTTAAAATATTTTTAACGCACGGCAAATACCGATACTACTTTTTAAGGTCTTGAAACTATAACAACTTTAAATATTTGTAAAAATTATTTTAAACTCTCAGCAACAACTACGGCATCCATACTCCAAATTTAACTTAAACTTTCATCACGCAAACTTCAACTGTCATCTCAACTCATATTGGCCCGCTGCAATCTTTAAACTCTTTTTTAACAACGCATGGTTTTTAGGCCAACCCGACTGAATGGAAACTACGAATGCTTTTTTTAAAAAAATCTCGCGTCTTTTCGTTCTTTTTTCTTGGTTTGTGCACGAAATATCCTTAACATACACTTAAGTTGAAAAGTATAGAATTTCGGAAAACCGATATGAACGTGACCTTAGAAAAGCTTATCTAAAAAAAAAATATTTGCGCCGTAATCAAATTCTGCAAATTCTTTTAACAGCGCCGTTTATCATGGCTCGAAGTGAAAACAATTGTATCCTAGTTATGTTATTAGCATGTTTTAAAATCTGGGAAAATAATCCCAGCTTCATTATAAAAAAGATTCTTATTTGAGGAAGAGGGTACGATTGTTTTTTGGCCCAAAAAAAGTGACAAGATACCGTCAAGTAAATTCAGTGACAACCAGTACTACTGAGAGTTGGTACTAGATCTATCTACTTTCACCTAACAAATTTATACGACTAGAAACCGTAGCGTTACAATATGCTTTCAAAAAAGGCGGGAATCTCCTTCAATTTTGTCCTCCAGAAGCCCGTCACAGTAAACATCGCATCACAACTGGGAACTGGTTTACAGAAAAAAAACCTTCATTTTTCTTAAAAGGGAATATAAACTAGGGTACTTTCGTTTCGTGCATTTTGTAGTAGTTTAACTTGACGCTATCTAAAAGGTACTCTCAGATGGTAGACTGTTTACAGTCCCCTATTTTTTCGTAATATCGTCGAGATCGAGCGCCGCGTTTCAGTTCGAGCGGCCATCTTGATCTCAGATGTGCATCCGGGGACGCTGAGCATCGAGGTTATATTTCCCTTCCATCATCTCTTTAAACCTAGCCCGACTAGATTATCAACTGCTATATGTGGGCGAGTAATTGTTTACTCCTAAACAATTTTGAAGTTGGTAATAAAGTTTGATTCTGTAAGTGCACTTGTGTATTTAGCTGGAGAAAATTACTTATGTTAGAAAAAAATCTTGCATTCCACCTTAATATTTGCAGGAACAATCAATTATTCAACGTAGAATTAACTTTTTTTAGTTTATGTTTGATTGGAGTGTTGTTCTTGATTTACAGTATCTATTTCTTACAGAGTGTGCCAGCTTTATCATTTAATTCGCTCGGGACCATTTCTGGATAACGTACGACTGTATTGGTTAAGTTTATGATCAAAACATGATATTCCTCACTTCACCTCGTTTTTTGCTTGATACCACTGAACGCTACATCGCCTACATGCGTTTTGTTTCCCTGTAATTTTTAAAATGCTTTATGTACTTTAAAAAACTGTCGGCACGTATTTTGTGCCTGTGTGACCGACGAATCTTAGCGGTCTTTTCGCGCTATAATAAGGAAAGCTCTGTTTACTTAATTATACTGAAGCGAAGTAGGTGGCAAAGTACAAAGAGAACCCGAAAGATAGAACACTTTACATGTAAGTGAAGTCGAGACAACGTTACTCAGAAAATGAGCATTTTTAAAAGACTGGAGATGTTTCTTACCGCGCGTATGACTTGCACGCAAAGAGCGCGTGCGCACACGTGTAGCGCCTCCACGAACAGAGATCAGCAGCCCTCAAGCATAAACAGGGAAATGAACATTCCTTTAAGGATGTTTTATAATGATACCTTTTTTTGGAACAAGCCTGCTTATAGAAATGAAAGCAACCATTATACTGATAAATTACTATCAATTAAGCTGCCGTCTGCCGATGATAATCTACGCCCTTTTGGTGCAAATACCACCAAAGGGAGTGAATGGGGTTAACCGAAAAGCGACAAAGGGCGAAAAATATTACTGACTACCACCAAAACGGGAAAAAATTACCGACTACCGACAGGAAAAATATTAACCGACAACCGACATGGACCAATATTATCTTTTTTTAGAAAGAAGAACATATCTAACTTTCTAGGAAGTAACCAAAGATACCACCGACTTTGTAAATTTTTATTGAAAAGACAAAGGTGAAAAACCGAGCATTTCTTGTTTCGATGGACGTCACAAATATTTTTACAAATATACCACATAATGAGGCATTGAAATAGTTTGCAGAGCGTATGAAAATTTAAAAAAGCAACCCACCTATTTCTACACATTACCTGCCAGAAATGCTAGTTAGATTAACCCTCAAAGAAAATTCTTTCCAGTCGAATGAAACGCCCTACCTACAAACTCACGGTACTGCGAAGGGCTAAGACAGCAGTTTCCTTTGCCAACATGGCATATGATAAAATTAGCAAAACCGCTAAATTTTGTTGACAAACCTTTGCGATGTACATAAAAACATAAAAAAAAGCGACACCCTGTATTCATTTGGTCTTGTTCATTTGAATGTAACGGGATGATATATAATTTAAGTGGTGGCTTTAAGTGACTCTCATTGTTTTAAGACACAGTTGTCTACAAAGGCATAAGAATTCAACGAAAAAGCCATCCTTGATGTAAAGACACAAAAGGAAACCTTCCAGCACACATGATTTCGCCCCTTGTCACCCACTGCAGGATTTGTCACCGAAGGAGAAGCCTTCAGTTTAACCTTAAACAACGTTTTTCCAAATTTCAAAAAAACGCCTGACGGACAGAGGCTACCAAAATTTGAAAGAAAAATTGCCATCACGAATAAATAAAACTCACAGAAACTGGAAGTTCGCCCTCCTGACACAAAACGGTAAGGAAGAGAAAAAATGTTGCCTTTCGTGTTATAATACTAGCTCTTAGTGTCTACTATAAAAGAAGCTTTAATGGAGTGGTAAAAATTTGCAAAGGGTCAGACAGGCCGCACATCCTCACCGGCGTGAAACCTTTGAAAACCTTTTGCATTTTGCTCCAGTGAGGAGAACTCTTTCAGGGATTTTACACTTTGAAATTTGAACGTAATTGATATAGCTTTTATATAGCGGCGCGGTACAGTTTATGTTCAGCAGGGGAAAATTGAGTAAGTTGAGCAGAACCTTTAAAAATGTACAACAGACAATTTATTCAGTTCGCGCGTATAATTCCTGTTGAATTTGTAGTCTGCGTATGAGATATGTCTACTCAAAAATATTATAACAATTTTCCATAGCTGCTGTAATCTTAGGGTATCTGCTTTTAATATATTCGTAAAGTTTAGGTTTACGCAATCTCAGAGAGCAATGCTGAGCTGTACACAGCACGTATTCTTTTAATATATCCAGATCTGACACTGGTTTTGGGTATATTTATCACGTCTCTAGTAGAAGCATGATTTAAATACGTTATGATGCTGTGTCCTTTGACTGATGTCGATTTAAAACTCAATCGCTTTGTAAATGTAACTTGTAGTTTTAATATCAGAGGAGAGTGTTTTAAAGCTCGATATTTTTTAATACCATGGAAAATTATCATAATTTTGAGCCGACATATCTTATAAACGGGTCAACAAATTCAACAGGAATACGCGCGAACCGAATGATAAATTGTCTGTTGTACATTAAAGCAGGGGCACCCGACGTCAATTTTTGGAAAATGTCTGTTCGGAAGACGATTTGAGATCTAGAATTTTCGGAACATTTGTTGTAAATTTCTTGCCTGTATACCTCTCCTAGGATTTTCGAACATCTAAGAAATAGCATAATTGTCCATTTTTAACGGATTTCTACCCTAAAAAAAGTCACCTAGAATTTTCGGGAGCCTTTTTTCTGGCTAAAATTTTCGAAAAGGTAAGTTTTGATCCCTATAATGTTTGGATCACTAGATTTTCAGCTAGGAAATCCGAACAGATGACAAATTTTTAGGCGATAAAAATATGCCTATATCTACCGTTTAAATACTAAAATACGTTCAACAATGCTATGTTTAAGTGGTTTTGAACTATATTCTCGTTGGGTGCCCCTGATTAAAGGTTCTGCTCAACTTATACATTTTTCCCCTGCTGAACATAAACCGTATCGCGCCGTATCTTGGTCCGCTACATAGAAGCTATATCGTCGTTCAAATTTTAAAGTGTAAAATCCCTGAAAGAGATATCCTCTCTGGGGCAATATGTAAAAGGTTATCAAAGGTTTCACGCCGGTGAGGTTGTGCGGCCTGTCACCCCTTGCTGTTTTTCCATTATTCACAACAGTTAAAAAAAGACACGTACAGATTACTTTAAAGTTTCATTTTTCAATCGCTACATAACAGACTGGTATTCCATCGAACATTATTTATGAACCTTTATTAATCAGTTTTAATTCCTGTCTATTAGATCATTTGCGTCAATTTTAAATCAAGTGTAACTCAGTGAGTGACAAGTATGCAATTTAATTAGGTTAGCTTTGGGCCGTATTTCTTTTTTCCCGAGTTACAACCGCCTTAACCTGCGCGTAGACGAAATTAAACTCTGGTTAACTCCGTCTAATCAGAGTTTAGTTATCGTCTGCACGCAGGCCACAACCGCCTTACCCTTTTATTAATTCCACTGGACAGAAAGGTATTACTTTCATATTATATACCTCAGTTCTACTGACATGAAATGGTACATCTTTTACATACCTCCTTTAGAACTTTGCATCCCTTTTAAGTTTAAGTTTAAGTTTAATAATACTTTGTACAAGTAAATAGATTACAGAAAATACAAAAAGTGCACTTTGTTACGTTAAGTACCCCCCGGGGGCTATGCTATAGTTTAAGTTAGGGAGCAAAGTCCTCAGTACCCGAAAGCAGGAAACAAGCTTAAGGTATTTGACTTGCAATGTACTTTATTACACATAGCAGTTGGTAAATGAGAGTATGCGTCATTGACTAGCTTTGAGGTCAAGGTGACTGGATATTGGCCAAGATATATTGTCCATCAACCAGCAAGCAAAGCGGAGCGAGGCTAGTATCCACCCATTTAGACTTTTGAAAAAGTCCGTTGTCGAATTTCATATATGGCGCGGGACTTCGTCGCTCGCGGCCTAAGAAGAGGTCGACTTATAGCAAGTTTACCACCCATCATGAACGAACAAGATTACCGGTAGCTCATAACTGAAGAGTTGGCAAATGGTAAAAAAAAGAGTTTCTTGCGGGGACAAAGCGAGTAATACCGAGCGTACCTGACACAGTGCGTGTCTTGCTCGCGTCGTAGCGTTTCCAGTCATATTTCAGCGGATAATGTATTGGACCGTTTTTTTTGCGTCTGATTCAGTGGAAGGAAATTCAGTTACAGGGTGTTATTGTCATTATGCAGGGCTGGGTCACCCTTTTAAAGCCCAAAGAACGTCCGTGTGTGAGAAGCTAATTTCCATAGCCATTGATGTATGTTGTTTTTTTGGCAGTGCAGGGTAAACACTAGCCTGCGAAGCGCAGACGACCGGAAATACCGTGCGTCTGGGCTTCGCAGGCTAAGTACACATTGACATCTGCTAGAATTCACTGACGAAGATTGTTTTGCGCGTGATACATGGATAACAATTTCAGCCCTCTTTTTAAGTCACGAATTGGGATGTTAAATCAACTTCTTTATCAGGTTCTTTTAGAATGCAAAGAACTTGTTAAATACCTAGGTATTCTTATAGACAAAAACCTTAGCTGGAAACAACACATTGATCTTATCGCATTAATTGAAAAGCTTTGAAAACTAGTAAAACTTTACGAATCATCCCTAGACTAAAGCATTTTGTTCCTTTTCGAACTTAATCGCAGGTGTAACAACCTTTGATCTATCCCTATTATAGTTATGGCTTAAGCTCTTGAGGGCAAACCACAAAAAAAGTAAGTTAGATTAACTTCATATTCTTCTAATAGGGGCTCTTCGGTTAATGCATTTTTCACCAAGTAGAAAAGATCACGTGATTCCTCTCTTTATCAAAAGCAACATCTATAAGTTTTCTAAATGTTGAATCAATCAGCAGCGTGTATAAAGTCAAGAATAACATCGCGCCAGTTAATTTAAGAAACCTCTTTGAAGACATATCAGATATACACCTGTCGTATCACAGGCGGCCCAAACTCACGTTGCTAGGGAAGGGTGTAATGTAATTTACATAACATAGGTGACGCGCCGGTGTCGCGTTACAGGCGACTGTTGAAAATATAAGAGACTTTGTATGAGAAATATATTACAAAGATCTGCGAACGCTAAATAACGCTAAACCTTACTTTTTCTTAAATGAAATGAATACAAAAGACTTACCTGCAATTTATTCCACTACATTTTGGTATCTGTTTGTCGTTTTACTGGTATTTTTGGCTTTACTGCGTAACCACTGTTACTCCTTTCATAGAACTTCAACTTTATTAGAACGAAATGAAAGGAGTAACAGTGGTTACGCAATAAAGCCAAAAAAACAGTAAAACGACAAACAGACACCAAAACGCAGTGGAATAGATTGCAGGTAAGATTTTTTTTATTCATTTCATTGAAGAAAAAGTAAGGTTTAACGTTATTTAGCGTTCGCAGATCTCAGTAATGACAGTAATATATTTCTCATACAAAGTCTCTTATATTTTCAACGGTCGCCTGTAACGCGACACCGGCGCGTCACCTATGTTATGTAAATTACATTACACCCCCTGTCCCTCGCAACTTGAGTTTGGGTCGCCTGTGGTCGTCTAGCACAAAGTTAGCTGCCGCCAGTAATTTCTACTTCAAACACTCAAGATTAGAAATAATGTGCAAAAGCCTTCCATTTCAAGTTCTGGAGCCAAAGCGTGGAATGGAATACCAACACATTTAAAACAGCTTAATACGGAAATTTCGAAAAACGATTGCATGAGATTATCATGCAGATCCTAAAGAACCAAGACGAATGTCGGCTTGAACTGCTCACCATTCTCCAACAACTGAATTTCGTTTAGTATCTTATTTTGCTTGTCAAGCAGGCCTACTTAATTTTTCCTTTTTCGTCAGTTCTTACCAAATTAATCTTCCTTTTCTTATAACACTTTTTTTGTTTATATTTTATTTTACCAATCTACGTATATCATTTTCTAACGCAATCCGCCTCAAATAGCCTTTGCTACTCGCGGGTTGTGCGCGGCGAGAAACTTTTTATTTCATTACAAGATTTTGAAGTAAATAAAGTTGTTGTTGTCTCAGTGTTGTTGTCAGTTATTAACGCTGGCTGATCTTGATGAAAAATTGAGGGTGTAAACATGCTTACATACATTAATGAACAGAATAGGCTAACAGGTTTGACATGACATTGTAAGAACTAGTTTAAACCATAATTATTAAATCAGTAAAGTATGGTATATTTTGAAAAGCTCCAGCATTTTCTTCTGTTGCTCCTTTTTTATGTCTTCAGCTGGTTTTGGAATATGGGAACCGTTTCCAAAAAACAAGAATTGTATAGAGTATTCTTCAGTTGAAGTCACCTGTGTGGCATATGATAGCAATGACACATCAGGAGTCATACCCGATAGAATTGAGTTTGTTGGATCAGAGAACGATGAAAAATTGACGGCTGATGGCAATGTCTTCTTTACCACCAAAAGAAAAGGTAGGTTAGCAATACGAACATTAGCTAGATAAGCCCCAAAATTAAAGAACATTGCACATTATGGATATTATGTTACGCAGGATTATAGTCATATCCTGCACATATATGGCCTCATGTAATAGAATCCGGATTCTGGAATCCTCCAAATTTTTTCTGTAGAATTCGGAATCCTCGGTTTTGGAATCGAGAATACAGCTCAAGGAATCTGGAATCCCATTAACGACTGGAGCTCAGAATCCAAGAATCGCAAATCCAGTACAAGGCAGGGAATTCAGAATCCAAGATTGTTTTGGATTCCCTTTACAAGAGGCGACATATATTTTTGGTTGTTTTTGGCTGTTCACACCCTCCCTAACAGGAACGCGACTTACCATATCAGGAGCCCATCATCTCACCACAATCATTAGGGTATAAAGTTACAGTGAAACCTCTATTAAGCGGACCCCAATTAAGCGGGCACCCTCTATTAAGCAGACACTAAGCCGGGTCCCGAAACGAACGTCTGATATTTTCCTCTACAACGAACCCCTATTCAGCAGACACCTCTAAAAACCTCTATTAAGCGGACACCGGACTGAATTGACAATAGTAGTACTGGATTATGTCCTTGCAATAAGTACTGAAGTCAGTTAGTGTTTTTGCATTTACAAACAAATTAAAGTTGGTAATGAAAGGTAATGAACTTGAACTCTCGATAGCTTCTTTAACAACATGCAACTTTATCACAGCACAGAGTAACCGTTGAATGTTTATCGTTAACAAACATTGCGCAATTTTTACAACCCTTATTAAGAGGACACCCTATATTAAGCGGACACTTGGGAAGGTGCCGAAGGTGTCCGCTTAAAAGAGGTTTCACTGTAGTTCCTTAGCTCCCTATTGTTATACCTCTGATAAAGTCTATGTGATCAGACGGAACCGGTCAGAAAAATAAAACACGTTAACAAGATATATATACAAGCGTTCCTTCATTATGCTTACTAGTGTTCATTTCAAAAATCATGATTTTTCTTTCACATGATGTTTGTGTCACTATAAAATCCCGCGTGTAAGAACCTAGGGTTTAGGAACGTGCTGGCAGAAATTTGCCATTTTAATACCCAAAAATATAACAATCTGTTCAGCCAAGCAAGATCAACCAGGTTCTTCTATGTGGTAAATATTTAAGGGCCGAACCCAAGGTTATTTAATTTTTCTGGTAGTCATATACAACAGCTACATCTCCTTCATAGAACCTAATTAAGGACTTACTTAGCCTTAATTGCCAATAACTACCCCAAAGTACAAAACCCTTTTTTCCAGACTTCAAAAAATGTAGAAATTGGAAACCATGATTATTCAAAATTTTGGAGAAACACCTTAACAAGGTGCCTTATGGGCAATGCACCAAGTTCTGAGATTCATTTCTAGAAAATTCGACTCTTGGCCAAATTAATCCCAAAGTTAGGTACAAATACAGGCTAAAAAAACCCTTGAATTTATAATGATAGTTTTCACAGCTTATGAATGTGTTTTCTTGCTTTAGAAATCCATAAACGTGAGATAAGGTTATATAGATCAAGTTACCAACCCACGAAAGTTGAAGGGCTTTTGAAACTTAAGTAAACATGACGCTAATCCAGATCTCACAAAACCACTCTCAAATGATTTATACTTTGCTCTTATTGGCAGACAATGGGCGAAAGCTGTTCTACACATTACACATTCGGAATGTTACGATGAAATATGATAGTCAAAGTGGACCAATAGGAAATTACTTCTGTCGGGCCTACGCAGTTAATAGCACAAAATATAAAAGGCATGGCTTCTATATCAATGTTATACAAGGTAGTATATCCTATGGTCTATAACCGACACTTCTTGGTTTATTAATTTTGATGATAATAATTAATTGAGATTACAACAAAAGTATAATCATGGTAAATGTATTGTGGATCTTTTTACGTGTAAAGAAGATTCTTCGTCACACTCTTTTGTTAATGCAGAGGTCGTTTAAAATAATGACCTACAAAGATACTTTCCAGCTCCTCTGTGATGCCCTATAAAAACTAGCTGCGTTTTGATAAACAGTTCGCGAACAAGTCGATTTATGTGATTACATCACATATGTGATTGCATGGCTAAAAAAACAACAATGAAGGCCTAGTAAAAGGTTATCACCCGAAGCCGATAACATCAGGAGCAACCAACGACGGTTTCCTCCAAAAAACGTTGAAAACACTTTTTAGGCTATCCAAAATACTTTTAGATCTCTAGAATGCATTTTAAGCGACGCTACAAAATTTTTTCTATTCGGTCGTCCTAGGGGAACTTAAGTCTTTTCGAAATTATAAGGGCTTCAGTATTTTATTTCCGAAACTTTAAGGTGCAATTTAACATTTTACAAAAAAGAGAATAATTCTGATTCCTCTCAACTTCAGAAAATCGTAGGGAATTTATTATAGAGAAGCTTCGAAAATTGCGCATGAATGAAGGTTGATCTAGAAATTTTTAGCCGTCCTCAAGCAAAAGAAAACTCTAGACAATATTTGCTTCTCCGAACAAATATTTTACAGAAAACGGTCGTTGGGTGCCCGCGTAACCTGTATGGAGACCTTGAATATTCCAGGTACCAAAAAAACCGAATCTAACTGATATTATTGTACACTGTTTTGAAGTCAAATAACGACACTGAACATAGTTATCAGCAAGCAGATAATGTGCTGATTTCCAAAGTTAACTGTAGGCTCTTAGCCAATGAGAAGACAGATAGTGAGTACAATGTATAATATTTTATATTTTCAGAAAGTGAGTTCCCTAAAGTTGAAACTTCCAAAGTTGATGTCCTTGAGCCTGGTGATACAGCAACAATAACATGCAATATGACTTACAGAGGATATCGTCACAATATACTTAAGCAGATTGCCTGGTTTAAAAATGGCCGCATGCTACGAAGTGTGAAAAATCCTAATCCTGCAGATCCTGAAAAGGCCCTTGGTCCGCTGGTTATTGAGGAGGCGATCGCCAAAGACGGCGGAAATTACACCTGCGTGATAAATGTAATGCTTCGTGCTGTGCTAGAGTACAATGTGTCAGATATCACTCCCGTCTCAGGTAAGAGTCATTGGATGAGCCCATGGCCAAAAACTGAGTATAATATGAAGAATCATACATAATTCTGTTGAATGGATGAAAGCAAAAACTATCCTTTGTACTGTGAGCAAACTGCTTTACATGTAGAATTTGAAGTTTTTGGTCAGTTTCCACGTAGTGATTTTATCACAGGTGTCATTCATGCCGGAAACTCTTTCCCTGCCTCGCCTTTCAGTCCCTACTCTGCAGTTAGGCAAAGAAAACAGCAATGGAAACAACCATTTATTGACTCAAAAATACATGTATAAAATTTGGCAATACGAATGGATGAAAATAAACAAGAGAAATTATTTTACTCAACTTTAAGCGGGTTTTTCAAAAGCATCAGCTAGTCAAGTTGGTTTATGAAATAGGAAGTCGGAGATACAATCATCAAATCAGCCCTGAATTGCCGTATTGTTGTGATTATTAAAAAATGTTAAAACGACTCAGTCGCAAGCAGGGTACGAGTTAAACACCAGGGGCACTTAGCGACTTTTCTGCAAAGTAGTAACTGTTCGAAGGAACAAATATTGCCTTTAAGGAATACAAAGACAAAAACCACTTTCGACACCAATGAAGCATTTAAAAACATCCGGTAGTTGGGTGCTCCTACCACGAGTACGACAACGAGTACGAGATTTTCTCAATGCCAAGTAGTACTTACGCGTAGCTGTCGTCATCCTCTACTACAAGTCGGAAACAAGTTATCAAATCAAATGTTAGGAGTTTTATCATTTTGCGATCGGGAGAGGGCGTAACCTCCTTCACTAAAGGTAACAGTGCTAACTTTTCTAGTAAAAAATGGTAAAATGAAGCTTTACGGGGAGTCTATATCTTGAGAATACGCGAAAAAACGTTAAGTTAAATCTCGTACTCGTCGTCGTCGTCGAATCTAAAGGTCTCTAAGTACTTGAAATGGCTCCAGTTATATCCCACGTAAAGTGCTGACGATTTAGAGACAGTCATGGCCGGGAACCAGATGGATGATAAGAACACAACTGTCAGTCAGATCTACTACGATTGTGTGCTATGGGATAATCAGATCACTAAAAAGTGACTTTTATTCAATTTTAACTCTAATCTTAGCTTTTAGTCGCCGGTATTTTTAGTCATCTCTATGGGCAGCAATCCCGCGAGCATTATTCTAAAAAGGTAACATAATATAACTCCACCCCTTTAGTTTCAAGCAAAGTATTACTTTTTTATTAACATTAAAGTCGTTTTTCCAGTAGCAACAACGCTTGAATACAAGGAGGCAGAAAGCAAAGCAGTGAAAACAGGAGAGGACGTGACACTGGAATGCCGTGCGCGAGGTTTTCCTTTAAATCTGGAGTGGAAAGTTCGCAAAAACAAGGACAAAAAGGCTAAATGCTTTAGTAAGTTCTATTGAATTAACGTTTGAATAATTATTCATTTAATTTTTTATGTAAAACATCGACTCTAGGAAAGAAAAGACCAAGGTCACAGGTAGGAGAGAGTAGTTGCACTCCTCCCCTTTGATTACTGGCCGTTTAATAGTTTGTTTTTTTGTTTGATTTTCGCCATGTAACGTGAAGTCTTTATTTAAAAGCATAGATTATTTTTTAACAACCTTCTACCTAAAACTTCAGCATCCATTTTTTTTACGTTAACTTGCCTGGAGAAACCACTGCTCGCAGGTTACCTAAACTTTTCACCAACTAATTGACTTGATTTTTGGTAACAGATACATCAATAGATGGCCGATTCAAGATAATACAGGAGAAAATGTATGATCCTTATTTCTTGACAATCACCAATCTGAACACCAACGACACTGGTATCTATTACTGTTGCCTGCCATCCAACTGCTCTGCCAAGGTCACTATTAAAGAACACTGTCAGCGGTTTACCCTCATTGTTACTGGTAAGTTCTTTTAATCCCTGTTAATTTCCATCATTTTGAGGTTGCTATGGGACTGGGTTGGTGCTGGGTCAAATTTCTCTATAGGACTGTTTCGGGGACCGCTATCGTTTCCTTGGGGGGTACTCCTGGGAATTCTTGGTGGGGGTGTATCCCCCGGTTCTCCAAATCCTGACCACATTTCAGACCAAAAAATGTCTTTTTCCGCTCCCGTTTTCAGACCTGGCCTCTAAAATCCATACCCTTTTTCGGAACTAACAAATAAGGATCCAAATGGATCCAAATTCGTTCCCCAAAACAGTCCCACAATGCCATTCCACATATTCACTCACCCAGTCTTACTCAGAACCTGAGAACGGCAAATACGACTCCCACTGCAGAAGTTTGGGCGGAGCGTTGCTCGACAACCCAATAGCGGTTGCCAAGAGACTAACGCTGACCATAATTTTAAAGAAACAATTGATCTCGAGTTTGAAAACTCTCCTCGCTAACAGTTGTGGACTTAGTCATGATCAATGTAATGTCTTGAGACATTTATAATGTGATGTGCTGTCTAGTATAAGAAGACTACATACGCCAAGAAAATATTTTCATTTTTTGTTATCAACAATTTTGTTTTTGTTCTCAACAGATCCGGCATATAGTGGTTCCACAATGCTATGGGCATCTCGTGGCGTGATTCTTGCTCTGATGACCCTCTTGTTCATACACCCGTAATGCATTCTTGATTTGGACAAATCGGTTGAGTCTTCAAAAGCTGGGGTCAATTGATAAAACTTTTACAAGTGTAACTAAAAGTTTTTTTAAATTGACCCCGGATTACTGTTTTAGTAGTGACAGCCTACAACTTCTCTGGTGTTTTACAAGACTTTTTACATGCATCTCCTACCATAGAAAGAGAAAAAACTTAGTGACATTGTAGTTTGTCTTACGGGCTGTGGCTGCACAGGCTCCGTACGGTTTTCATTACACTGTATATAATGAGTGATATAATTGCTTTATTTATAAGTTAAATTTTATTCGTAAATATGTGCAACAAAACTTGTGCAAAACTGAAGTAAAATAAATAACATCAAGAAAATCAAGAAAACCCTTAAAAACGTTAATTTCAACAGGATACCAAGAAAGAGACAGCAACACAGAAACTGACTTCTTAGGATTTCATTCACAGACTAAAAAAAGGAAATGCCTTTACAGGCAACTTTGGCTCTTGTTTCGTATGAAATGTACCACTTTATTAAGGAGTGTATCACAGAATCAAATGAATATTTGAACCACCTTAATTGTACCTCTCTCTTCCACGGAGGCTCACACAAAGGGGATTGACGAGAGTAAGTGAAGGTGCAAACTTTGCACTCGCTTAGTTTAGCAGAATTTCAATAACACTCTATCGAACTTCTGCGGAACAGAGAGACCATGTACAGCTGCTCAGGTTAGCGAGAGAAGAGCACCCAAGGGGATCGGCAATGGTTATAAGGGACTCAAAGATTGGTTGTGTAAAGGAAGGGTTATTCTTTCTCGGTGCATTTAAATGTGAAGGCAAAACCGAAAACACGCCATTTGATTACCATACTTCTTCCTTTAACGCTGTATCCGGCTGAAAGAAGAGGCATTAAAAAAAATGCCTCAAAATACATTTCTGGCATTATAATCTTTTACCATAAAGGCAAGATACATGCCGAAAAAATGAAACCATTTTTAACCCTTTCCTATATATGAAACACACAGCCCCCTTATAATTATTAACTGCAGATTCAAACCGAAACGTGCGGTCCACCAACGGTCAAGTAAGAAAACAGCGCTGGCAATGGTAGACTACTGTGGGGGTTTAAGCAAAATTACGGAGAATATCGTTAAAGGAACAACTCATTCCATTCGAAAATGTACGAAATAGCTTTTAAGTGAGTATATCGCAGTATGTACACTGAATGAAAAGTAACCTGTCGACTTACTGAGTTTATTAGCCGACTAAAATACCTTTAATGTACTGCCGGGCAAGTAAAAGAAAATAACATACTCCTTGAAAGCATGTAGAATAAAAGTATAATTTGTAAAGCTCAAGAAAAAAGAAGAGAAAGTTGTCCCGTCTACGACTCTTTATTTTCCCAGCATACGTTGAGAAGTCTTCCCTCTCAAGAATCCATGTGTGTAGAAAAGTGAACGTAAAGTGAGTAACGACCTGGGACACGTTTCTCGAAGGAATGCGGCGAACAAGAGAGTTTATTCTCTCTTGCCGATACTGAAAAGATGTTGTTTATATTTAAGATAGAAGTTTCAATAGTTTTGCGGGTAACATGAACAAATTATCAGACCAGACTGGTTTGTTAGCTAGGAACCGTGTTCTTGAATAAACCTAAAACTAACCTTATAAACTAAAGCTAGGGCTTTTCCATGACCCTGAAAACCCTTTGACCCCGGGCAAAGAGCTTTCAGGGCTAATAATTGCCCGCAGGTAAGCTGTCTCCGTTTACATTAAAGATCGAGGTGTCAATAGTTTTGCATATAACGTGATAAAACTATCAGTTAATGAAACAAAATGGAGTAGTCTGCTAGCCAGGAACCGCGCTCTTATTCTTTATATTTCGATTTGAATATTTGATTTTGGGCCCGAAAAGTTACTGGGACTTTCGAGAAACGGGTCCCTGACCCCTTGGAACAAATAATGAGGCGTGTTGTGGCGCGGTGGCCAGGGGACTAATCAGCCACCTTGCCCCTGATTGTCAACCTTGCATTCAGTTTTGTTTTTATAATTCCCATTTCAAGGGACTTCTTGCTCTAGCATCTCTATATCTAGAGATCCGACACTAGGAAGGAACCAGTTTTATTTACGCGTTGAGTGGACCTCTGCATTCAAGGGTTTTTACTTTAAGCTGCTCCTATATCTTCGTTAGGCGTCCTTATTATCACATAAATGTACAATTTAAGTAACAACGTTTGCTAATTAAATTGTTTGATTAATGTGTTTTTAAAATGTTTTGTTGTGAAATGAATGAATATAATCAATGCAAAACACACGAATATTGTCATCAACGGATTTGGTTAATACTTAGAGAAGATATCCCGTCTTGTCTCGTGTAGCATAGCTAGTGGTAGGTAACAATTGACCTTGTCACGGTTTTCGACGCCATCTTGACGAGTAGGCAAACGCGTGAGAACTTACAGTGTTTGTATGAAAATCTAATGTCCAATAATTTCCGTAGAACGGCTTTTCTAAGAAAAATATGAATTGTAAACTAAAGCTTCACTCTTAAGGATTCTACTGAAAAAAAAAGGAGGGCGTTACATGCGCTAGAAGACAATGAGAAGACCTAGAACGACTTTTTAAAATTTTCTACACATTGTCTGTAAGAAATTCCCGGGAAAAATTACAGACAAATATATCGAAAATCTAAAGCAAGCCTTTGGAGAAATTTAAGCGTAGGTACGCCCCCAAAATGTTTAAGTACAATCCTTCGCTTTGTAGCTGTAATTTACAATTGATAAAAAAAATTGATAGAAAAGCCGTTTTACGGAAATTATTGGACATTAGATTCTCATATAAACACTGTAATTTCTCACATGTTTGCCTACATTGGGTCAAGATGGCGTCGAAAACCGTGACAAAGTCTATTGTTTACAGCGTCCGTTGTCTTGGTTCAGTGCCATGACTTAAGGATTAGACACCTCTCAGTGACCTCTGCTTTATCAAAATCAAGTAGCAATGATGTATCATGAGTGCCGATTGTTCGATCAAGCATCTTTGTAATCTTGGATTTCTCAGACTCTTATCAGACCCGCGTCAGACCGACTTCAGAACAGTTCTGGGAATTTCTGTTGCGTTCTATTTTCCAAGTTAGAAAAAGTTATCAACCACTAGAGAACGTTTTCTGAGATTGCAGGATTATTGACATTAATAAACCTTGCCACATCGATTCTCAGCACGTAGAGGTAAAGTTTTTTGTGTTCGTGACTAGTACAGTTGATGTCGTGATCAATGATGACAAGCAAATTGAAAATAGATATTACGACTATAAGGGATTTTACAGCTGTTAATGATATTTATAGAAGCCTTTATCGCAAAAATTAGCGCCTCTTTTTGAAATAACAACTGATGCATGCTGAAGGTTCTGGACAACACTTGTTGACAGCAAGCACTATCTTGTCACAAACGAAAAAAGTACAGAAGAATACAAATAATTAATAAAACATGAGATTAAATTATATTTTTATGGAAAATCAATTAATGAATACGAACTATTTATACTGACACCCGGGTCTGTTTTGAATGCAAGGAAAGCCAGTCGGTCAGAGCAGTCGAGAATGCAACAGCAGGAGTCAATGTATTTTTCGGTGTGATAAGATATCGACCGATCAGTAATGGTTAGGTTTCACCTTGCCTGTGCTTGTATCTATAATTAGAAAGGGTATTTTGGGTATTTCACCATGTTTACCTTTTTCTTGGCCGGCGAAAAGATGACTGAGATTTTCACAATTCAACCAATCACCGGTGCGTTCTTGAATAACGTCATATGATTGGCAGGTCTCCTCCTATAATGGCTTTGTGAAAAACAAATGCTTGTGACTGTCTTGCTTATGCATCACTGAGAGAGCATCATTGCAGTGTAAATCACCTGCTTAATCCCAGCATCGGATCGCTTCCTATTCAACAGCAAAATGTTTTGGTTATTAGTGGTTTGTGCCGTAAGCTTTGTAAACGGTGAGTAGACCCATGTCTCCTTAACAAAGTCCTGAATCGTTTATCTTTTATTCGATTTTTGTTGTGGCAAAAAACAAACAAATACTACGGTCAGCAAACACCAAACTAGAAAAATTAACGCTCTAATGTATTTATAAAAAAAATGAACTTTAAAACAAATTTTTTGCACGTGTTATCCTACGCGACCTATGTCCTTATTCCTTATAAACATATTTCCGTTTTAAAAAATGCTTTTTTTGCTAATAGAATTTCTTCGTTTGCACAACAGGCTTCCTATTTTGCGTTAACAGCAACTAAACTAGTAAAATACAATTATGCTGAACGCAAAACTTTTTATCTGAAAATACTGTCACCGAGCTCCATAAGATTTCTCATTTTCCCTTAGGCTTTCCTTTTTTTCGACAAAAATGTTTCTTTGTGTCAGCTTGCTAAGGCAAGACTGTGTGCGGAGGGCCATTATCAAATGCTTTTTATCCCCTTTTAATGTATTTAAGCTCAGTGAACTGTCAACCCGATTTGGCACAGATCGCGTGATGTCTTTATTTACGTGAGCATTTTTATCATAGTCAATTATGTTCTCCTGCCCTTTTTTGTAGGTTTTTCCTCCACAAACAAATAAACTACGGTTAAAAAATATGGTTACCTGACTTTCATAAATTATTATTCATCATTTTATAAAAAGTTCTTTTTTATTGCTTTAATAGTTGCTCAAAGTTTTCCCTGGCGTTTTATATGATATTGTTTATTTAGTTGCAAACTTGCTCTGTGTATAGGTTTCTTCAAGAAAATGCTGTTTCAAAATAGCAGGGCAGAGCGATATCTTCGTGACATATTTGAACTTTTGTCGTTGATGAACTAGCATGTTAAAAACGAAATACCCCGCAGTGTGCTTGTTCTTGCGTGCTTCCAAGACTCTTTTAGCTTTGGACATTGATCGTTCATCGTTGAAACACTTCAATCTCTGACGAAATGACCTTTTTGTAGCAAGGGTGTGTTCATTATTTGTTTTTCGTACATAACA